TGCCAGTTCGCTGTTCTCGACTTGATTTCATTTCATCTCTGGTTGCTTTCTTTCATTCTTTTTTTTTGTTTTGTTTCTTTGGTGCCTCTTTTAATAACAAAAAGCGATGGCTCTGGCTCTGGCTCTGTTGTTTTCTCGTTTTCGTTATTTTTGTCGTATTTTTTGACTGAATTTAGGCAGTTTGTTGTACTTCGGCAGATGTTTTCCTCCAAGGGTTTCGCATTCGCAGCCGACCGACCGGCCTCCCTTTCCCAGCAGCTAATATACAGCCCTGACTTTAATCTTAAAGATTAGCCGGCAAAGAGAAGGGCATTTTAGCATTGGCACCTTGCTCCTTGGGCTTAGACACAACCCATTTTCCATTTTCCACTTTTCATTTTTTTTTGTTTTCCGCCAGCCCATTCAGTTCATTCACTTTAGGCCCATCTTTGCGGGGGCGTGAGTGAGTGAACTTTGTCTTTGTTTTGATTTCATTTGGGCCAAAAGTTGTCTAGCTGGCTCAGCAACCGTTTAAATTTCAAACTGCCAAGGCTTTAATGTCCCTATATAAACATATTTATATATATATATATTTAGGTGCCCTGCCTGCCTGTGCCATATGCGATTGTGTGTGTTTTAAGCTTTTTATATAATTGAAATCCGGACACGTGCCACTCAATGCGTATGTTGGCAATAAATTCAGTTTCACTTGTAATCTATACGCACATAAACAGATACAAAGAAATAACAATATATGTATATATAGATATAAATATATATTTCTGTTGATTCCCATTTCCCTTTTCATATGTAAATTCACTTGTCCATCGAGGCTGGGTTCCATTGGGGCCGGGGTTCCGGGGCCCCGGCGACAGGACATTGTCCTCACAGTGTGTAGGCGCCTCCTGGCATATGCTACAATCATAATTACATCGTCCTGAGCAGCTAGTCCTGTGCGTATGTTTATTTCTTTTCTTCTTTCTATCTTTCGGTGTCAGCGACATTGAGAAAAATTATTTTATAAACAATATAATATATGGGATTTATATTTTAAAAATTGCATAAATATTAAAAACTAGATAAAAATATAGAAATAATATTAATTTAATAACTGTTAATAAGCCAAAGCTGTTTCAAGAATAATTTAAGTTTTATTAAAGAATTTCTAGTGGCTTTTAGTTTCTGTTCTTAATAAGTTCCAAGCTCATCATTTTCTGAATCAATTCACTTCTATATCAAACCTAAATTTCCCTAATAAATCAAATTTTCTTCAAGTGATTTTCTCTGACAATATCTATCTTGTAGTACATAGTCAGTTGCATAACGAAGCGACAAAACTCATTTTAAACAGGCGCCACTCGACGACTGTGGGGCGCCACAGAAATTGCCCTTCCATTCCGTTCTGCTCCGCTCCAGACCAGATCCCCAGAACCCCAGAACCCAGATCCCTGGCCGTATTCCATATCCCCGGACCCAAGTCAATGTGCGGATGATGATGTGACCAGAACGGTTGCCAACAAGTTCATTAAATACAATGCACAGAGTGCCCAAGGACGATGACGTGCTGGCTCCATCGCCATCGTCATCTTCACGTAGCCTTCGAGGGAAAACCGATTACGGGGCGGTGGAGGAGTATACCGTATCCAATCCCGATAGGGGACCGTCCACCGCTGCGGGATGCTCAGCAAATTGAAATCTTTTATGAAGGCATAATTATTGGAAACTGGAATTCTGCGAAGGCATTGTATGCAGTAAATTTAGTTAACGTCACACAATAGGAAAACTTTAATGAAATATACGGGAAAGAGAGCTTAGCCTGAAAAGGGTTTTCTGGTTATCAAAGCAATATTAGTTCATAGTTAGAACTACAATTTTCGTTCCTTTCTGTGATAATTTATATGTATTTCAATACACTTAAATTATTATTTTTAAAATAATAAAAATATTTCAAATAAAATCTTTATAATTAACTAAGATTTCGCTGTCTTAAATTATCCCTGATTTTTAAAATCGATTTTTACTAAGAAAAAGCCAGAAAATAATCAAAAAGAGTTGTGGCAGCGCGCTCCAATTTTATGGCTTCACACATCCTGTGACCTAAAAAGCACTCCAAGGAGCAACAATGTTTAGAGGCCGCTTTAATGGGTCAATTAGCTGCTTCTCATATGGCCAACACATATAAGGTCGAAATCCCCTATTGCGTGACCCGTGAACATTGGCATGATTCTACGGATGAATTGCCATAAATATGTGTTTAATCTAGGTTGAAAAAAAAGTGGAACTAATTATTAAAAAAATAAATACAAGAAAAACACAATTTGTGGAAAAGTGAAAACTCATTTTGGCCATGTTTACCTTTGCTTGACCAGCAGAAAAGCCCCACAGAGTACGTACAAACACATAAGCATACACAGTTAATTTATTTATTTTGTGTGCACGCTTTTATTTGCATAAGCTTAAAGGATTTCGAGACGGCGAGCTTAGATTTACCTCGGTCTGCAGTTGTTTTATTGCCCATCCGCCCCGTTTCCCCAGACAACCCAGTGGCCCCGAAATAACGAAAGTTTAACCCTGAAATTGAGGTGAAAGGTGACTCTAGTAAAGAGGCAAAAGCTTGCAAGCTTTTGGGGGAAATTGTCCAAGGCCAGAAGTCCAGTAAGCTTTGTGTTTAGTTTTCTTTTGAACAGAGCTTTGTTGGGGGAGGTACTAAAAACTTGGGGGGTTAAGTATTGAAAGCTTTTAACGTTTTCTTGGGTTGGGAAATGGGATGTAAATCTAAAATAAAACTAATCAGGATAAATGACTTAAATAGTGTGGAACTTTCTTACAAAAAAAAATTAATAAATATAAAATAAGGAATCTACATCTGTACCTTATAAAAATATTTAAATATCCTCCATCTTTAAACCATACAAATTGAAGAAATATTCAAATTAAACACTTGAGACCACAACCGTTGCACCACAGGGAATTTAAGGAATTCCTACGCCTTGGCGACACACTGTCTAGACAGTTCAAAGTCGAACACCTGACAAATTTCTCTCCATTTCATCCGCCATTCAGGTAGGCGGGCTATTTTCAACGGAATTGCATTTGTTCCAGCCAGAAGCGTTGGGCCTAATGATCTTTTAACAGGCCCAAAGGACCTTAAGGGAATTTCCCAGCCTTGAAATAGGCAGTGCAGCGCATTCATTCATGAGAGCGATTGAAGAAAAAAAGATTCCACTTTAAACTGAAGAGGTTCTGCACTTGAGGCTGTATTCATTCATGAAGTGTCTGCCAGGCGGGAGATCAAACTCAGCGAGGAGTTTCTACAAATTAGCGGGGGGGCATTTGCAGGTTGCTAGGACATCTGGCTAAAGGTATTTGAGAAGAGGAACCCTCGGGAGAAGAGGTATATGCAAATTTGTTTACGGCAACGAAGTTGGAAATTTTAAAACATTTTTAAAAAGCAGAAAGATATCTGCTAGGGTATTTATTTAATTCACCCTTGAATTAAAAAAGAAACTATATATATTTAACAGTTCCAGTAATTGTTTAAACCAATTATATAATTTCTAGATGCCTTCTGAATCCTATAATTAACCTCGATTTTACTCATCTTTAAGTTCCCATGCTACTTTCCCAGCATCCACTCGACTAACTCCAAATGTTATCAGTAATTTTCTGAAAATCAAATCACAGAAAATCGATAAGGATCCAACAGCCTACGCAACACACACATTTTGGCACAACATTTTCGCTACGCTCCTTGAATGAATTGGCAAACATTGCAGATCCTTGAAAGGAGTCAAGAGTCCTACTGAGAGATCCTACCTGCTGATGCAGCACTTGAAACTGAAGAGGACGAGCTCTTCAGCTCAAGTGGAGGAGGCGCACACTTGAGCCAAGGCACCGAGGATAACGATCAGGATCGAAATCAGGTAAGGAGAGTGAGTCCCAAAATTTCAAGAATAGAGCCAGAGGGAATTGATTGTCTTTCGAAATTCCGTTTAAAACCGCCGACTGGGCTATTTTGGCCATTCGCATTCCGATTTCCATTTTCGGACCGAAGGCCCAGAGGGGCGTAGGTGCAATTGCGTTTATTAGCACCGCACCCGCACCCCTTGGGATCGCACACACAATGGTTGAGTTACTACGGATGAGTTAGTCGGTCTCCGTTTCGGTTCCAAGTTCAGAGGTTCCTCGGTTCCATTGAGGAATTGTCCGCCGTTGAATGAATGCTGAATGAGTCGGCTCGGGCAGGTTTTTGTTGCGCCTGATTCGTTTCGGGTTTGTCACTCAACTTCGATTTTGGACAAATCGCTGCCATATCTCAGATGATAAGCATCTCGGCCCAGCTCTCTGACATCATCAATTTGTGCAATTTGAAGTGTCGTGGGAAATGCTAAAAAAGTATCTCACTCCACACTCCTCTCGAAATGTCCCTTAATGTCCTTGATTAATTATAATTTTGAATGATGCGGCAGTTATGTCGCTTTGCGGTTGAATATCGGTTTCAGACCACACAGGGTATCTTTTAAATCCTTGTGGAACTAATTCAGTAACGGTATTGAATGTAGTTTGTCATGGAAATATCATAAGAAAATTCAAAAAAATAGATTATCTTCGATATATTGAAAGAACAATTTAGCTTAGATCCTAAAAAAAAGGTTTAATTATTAAAATTAAATGAAAATTTCGAACAAAACGACACAAGAAAATAATTTAAAAGCCAAAAACCTCATTCTCCGAATAATAAACATATACATATATCCTTTAACGATCTCCTCCAGCTCCTCCTAACTGCTTTCCTATGAAACCCATCTGCATAACTGGCATCCTATATCATCACCACTCCACTAAGCCCAAGTCTAACAATTATCCTATGACAGATTTGCAAACGAGATTTTTCCCAACCGACAATTTGTCAGGCCCGTCGACTTATGGGCCCTTCGAGCAACTCAATTTTTGCACATTTTATGCCAAAAAAAAGAAACTCGAAATAAAATAAAACGAACGAGACACACTGCTGAGATGTGTGAAAAATTAAATCTGACAAATTTCCGGTTGCCGCTTTACTGAATTTCTTCCAATGAATGTGTAAATTTCGGACATTATTTTCTGCTTGAGTGGATTAAATATAACAATATCGGGGGGAGAGCTATTTCTATCCACTGCTCAAACGATTTTCTCCAACTCCTGGGCATAGGATAGATTACAACTGGCTATATCCTTCGCCGAGACCTTCTCCACCTGCCTGATATTGAGTCCGGCAAAGTCATAGTTCCCTGCATCGTCTACATTCCAGAGACGCCGTTCGGCCAGGTCCGAGAGCTCCTTGCTGCCAGTACGAAAACCCAGCCGCTGGGCAGCCAGTTTGGGTGCTATCTTGTCGTAGGACTTCTCCAAGCAGGATGCTATCTCATCGCGAGCAGTGTCCACCAGCATGTTCATGAAATTTGTGTATATCTCCGCCGGCAGCGACTTCTTGGCCTGCAGAATCTTGTTGTATCTGCCCTCCATGAAGTAGTTCTCCAGGTTCAACACCGGCTTGATGAAATTATTGTTGGTCAGCAGAGCCATCGGCAGACGTTCGAGTTCAATGTGGAAATCTGCAATCCGATTGGTGGCCAGCATGTAGAGCAGATTTAGGCCCATGAACTTGTGCATGTGCACCGACGGCACCAGGACCTTGTCATAGTCGAAATAATAGGTATTCAGCTGGGCCATGTACCGCTCAAAGGCAGCATAGTCCTTGGTGGCAATGCTGTGCTCCACGGCGATCTCCAGCATCTCCCGGTAACGAACCAGCTGCTCCTTCTGCTTTGAACTGGACGATGCCTGCGGCGAGCCAAAGTTAGAGCGCACTAACTCCAGCTTGAATCCATCCAGCAAGGTGGCACAGTGTTCCAGATTTGGAGCATACTTGCTCCACTCGGTTTTCAGTTCGTTGTAGAGATTGGCCATGGTGGGAGGTTAGGCAGGAATTCAATTTATAGTTTCTGAATTTTTTGGTGATCAAAAAATGACAGAGCTAAACCAAAGCTGCTTAGATTGAATTATAAATTCTAAATAAAATTTAGAGTAGCACAAAAAAGGCTAATAATTATTTCTTTAAATTAATCAGGTTTTGTTTTATTTTAAATTTAAATTTATTTGATTTTAACATAATTAAAACTAACAACAGACTAAGTTCTACTGTACAATTGTTGACTTCTTTTCATCGCTTTTCCTACGCCTCCACCTTTAGCTCGTGGATCTTGGCCTGGTGCGCGGATACCGGCGATGTTTGAGGACTACCACTACCAGAGTTGGTGGACAGATTGAATGTGGGACTCTCGGAGCCGCCTTTCTTCTGCTTGACGCGTCGATTCTGGAACCAGATCTTCACCTGCTTCTCGGAGAGACGCAGCCTGTTGGCAATCTCAATGCGCCGCAGGCGGGACAAGTAGGCATTGTGCGAGAACTCACGCTCCAGTTCCAAGAGCTGAGTGCTGGTGAAGGCCGTGCGGATCCTCTTGCTGGAATCAGCATAGTCGTTGATCAAAGGCGTGATATCCTGGGCAGCACCGGTGGAAGGCATCTTCAACGGCGAGCTGTTAGGCGAGCAGGAGGACTCGTGCTTAAAGCGCTTTCCCTGCGGCTCATCGTAGTTGTTGGCATAATCCTGGGAGGCGGAAGACGAAGCCGAAGGCGAAGTGCAGAAACTGCCGGGTTCGGGCAGAGGCAATCCATGGACACCTGGAGTTCCGTAGAGACTGTGAAGAGGCAGCTGCTGAGCCTGGTGGCTATTGGGATTGGCAGACAGCGGTGGCGAAGGATAACAGCTCTCGTAATTGCCAAAACCGCTGGACTTGCGCTTCGGGGCAAACAACTGGGCGTATGGATGATACAGCGAGGTGGGACTGGAGCTGGTGGTGGCACTGGAGTGGAGCGTCTGCTGCTGGAGAGCAGCTGCTGCGGCGGCCTGTTGCTGCTGCTGCTGAATGCCCAGGGAGAAGAGGTAGCTGCCCACATAGCTGGCCGGATACGGAAGCATCGGAATCGAAGGCAACATGGCAGCTGCGGCCACGGCGGCGGCGGCGGTAGCGGAGGCTGAAGCGGAGGGACTTCCACTGGACTCCTTCTTCAGATTCGGTCGGTCGCTGAGCAGGGAATCCATGAGAAAAGAGCGTGACATCTTGGTTGGTTTTTTTTTTCGGAAAGATCTACTTGAGGAGCTAGCAGTGAACACGATCGCTGACTGTGCGAGACTGTCTGGCTGCTGGGCCCGCTCTTCTCTCTTATATACCTCAAGAACCCGGCCGAGGGTTGGTCCTGGGTTCACCCACCCCTAAGCACCAATTCGAGGGTTGTTTGGCCCGAGTCGCTCCGGCCATTTGGTCACCATTTAGCGGCAACTGTTGCCATTTACGCTCCGCCCTTATTCCACGTTCGATCACTCACAATGGCAGGTAAGCGATGCCTCACTGTATTCGTATCTCAGCTTGTGTTTGTGTAAGGAACAATGGCGGAGCAGAGTGTACGTGTGTGTGTGTGTGTCCTGGCGGAACGAATCCTCCTTTTCCATTTCTCATTATCACTCGAGTTTAATTGAAAGTTGAGGCGAATGCGTAAAAGCTTTTTAAATGAAACTGAATTAGTTCGAGCTAAATTAAATTAAATTACTTCTAAGAGATTTTAATATTGAAATAATTTTGAAATAAAATATTCAAAAATTATATTAAATATTTAAAAGATGTATTTACTCAATATAATATTTATTTCTATTATTTTTCTATGTAAATAACTTATATTTTATTTAAAATTCAGCTTTTAAACCCTTGGTAACGTAAACAAAAATATGGCCGAGCTAGTTTGAAATATTTTACTTTTAAAATGTAATCATAAAACTAGAGTGTTTTTATATTTATTAAAAAGATGAAAATAGTAATATCCTAATATTTTTTAAGAGTTTATACAAACTGATTTAGTGACCGAAACCAAAATAACTATTCAGAAAAGTTTAAGCCTATAAAATTATGTTGTTTATTTAACGAAAATATTATAATTGGTCTTTACCATTATTTATAATAAAACATTAAAAAAAAAATCATAAATGGAAAATACAAATCAATAAAAAAAAACTATTAGGTTGATATAAAAATTAACAAATTAATTTCTAAACCATTTAAAGTACAAAAACTATGCTAATCTTTATCTATTTTTTTAAGTGCTTCGGACCTGTTAATTTACAAAAGTTTATAGTGATATTTATGAATCTAACTTACCAAATTTATAACAAAAATTTAAAATGTATTAAATCTTAACAAAATATTCTATAAATAGTTAATATTCTATTCTATAATTCCTTCGTTAGTTTTACCTATTCCTTTGTAAGTATGCCCCTCGGCATGTGTCCTTTTTAAAGATATAAAATAAAATAAACGAAAGACAGAAAACCTCTCCAATAACCCTCCACAATCGAATCGATTAATTTTACAACCATTGAAAACTGCAAGCCCTCGAAGCGTTTAATGCCAATTTCATGGCAACTTATGGCCCAAGTGGTAGCCGCTACCTCTGTTTCTCCAACTCCAACTCCAGATACAACTCCAACTCCTGCGATCTCCTCACACATTGTATATCTTGTCTCCTTTGAGTCCTTGCCCTGGCGTAATTTTATTGATGCATTCTGCTGCTTGTGCAACTTCGGGGGAACAATGCGGCAGGGATCATCCATTCAGACGCAGTCCATTCATGGATGCAGTTGTGTCCTTTGACAAATCTCAGATACGACGCACGTTGTGCCATTGTTGGTATGTCTGTGTGTGTGTTTTGGGCCAGGTATTAGAGGTCTGTCTGGGCCAGACAGATCGTCGCCCAGAGCCGTGTTTTTGGGCTACATTACACAGAATTATGGCGGCAGTTTTATCATTTGTTAACTGACTTTAAGGATTTACCTATAATTGTCCTTTTCACGGCTTTGTCCGTAGGTGCGGCTTTGTCGCCTGTAGTCCTGTCCTGGCAGTTGATCATATGTTAAGTGGCTATAAAACGGATCACAATTGCTGACGTTAATTGTTGACCCCTGGCTTCTACGTAGGCGATCCTTTGAGTGTTCGCCTACTTTTTAAGGTTCTTTTTTTTTGGCTTCTGCTTAATTGGCGGGCCGTGCAGAAATGGGATTGCAAAAGGATCAAGGATCGATATTGGTCAATATCGAAATCGAGAGCAGCTGCCTGTTGTGTTGATATTTTTGCCGGAATTTCTGCTCTTTGGGCGTTGCGTTGGTCTCGTGCGAGAGGTCCTTTTGACCGCCTTTTACCAATTGTTTCGGGGCCTTTGGCCACTTGAGATTTTCTCCATTGACCACTTCCGTTTTTTGTCTGCGATTATTTCATGCTCGATTGGGCCGAGGTCCTTTTTTCCCTAATTTTAGATCGTGCTATTGACTTGGGCTCTGTCTTGGAACAACAATTGTTACGGATTTCTGAATATGGAAATTTGAATTTTTCTTTTTTTAACAGAAATTTGTATCTCTCAGATAGCATCAGAGTTCATTCAAGCGCACAATTTCATTTTAATTGTGAACAAAACTCGCTTAAACACTGAACAAATGAAAGCATGACGAATTCCTCACTTCCCCTCACTTTTTTGATATGGATACAACGCAAAACTAACTGAGCTGAGGGAAAAAGAAAACTTTGAAACCGGATTTGGCCATCAAAGGGGTGTTTCGGTACGAACAACCACCATTGAGAGGGTTTTTGTGATATATATAAAAAAAAACCCCTATGTCCGGGTTAATCATTTATTGACATTAATTGGTTGTGACATTTGCATCTTGACGGATTGTTGTAGTTGCCATTGTTGCTACTTTGCCGAGGGTTTGTTTATCCACTCGCTCTCTTTATTTGGTTTTGTATATTTATTTGTTGATTTTACAAATATGACTTCATTATAGCTGAAGCCGTTTCATATGCCCAACGAAATGATTTCTATTTACCCCTGAATAATTTACGAATGAGCTTTGAGGTTGCGTCTGACTGCTTTGCGTGTTACTGAGTCAATAGGCCTCAGGTCCTGCTTAAGGATACTTTATTTAGGTTGGTTATAGGTCGGTTTTAATGGCCGTTAATTGGATGTTTAATTTGTTATTAAATTGAAAAATGTTTTGTAAAGATGTGAGTTGAATTATAATTTATAAAAATATATTTAATACCAGAAAGGAGAAATTCCAATTGTTTAATTGTTTAAAAATTTTTAATAATAACAAAAATAACAAAAAGCTATTTAAATAATACAAAATACATCCTGGATCCTAAATGTATAATTTAATTTTACTAAAAAAATTCAAACGCCACTCGATTTGTAATTTAAAATCCCTTTGCTTGATATTCTTCGTTTAAAAAAAAAATAAAAAAGATAAATACAAAAATATGAAAAATGTGTGACATCTCCTAGCGAAAGTTACCTTCTTTGTGAGACGTATTCCTATATGTTTTCTATATCTTACACTATAGAAAACAAATATCAAAGTGCTGCACCGCCAAATGCCAAAAAAATGTTGACCAAAACAAAGGAAAAGTTCTTCATTCTTTTGCTGAAAATAATACTCGAATATTTTCATGAATGAAAAGTCAGTGCCTTGGACAATGGACAAAGGACACCGGACAAAGGACCCACACACGATCCGCACTTGCAGTGATCTGCACTTTTGTTTTGTCCTTTGTCCCTGGAGAAGAGTGATCGTGATCCTTGCTGGGCAAAGAGGGATCCAGGTAAGGCGAAATGTCCCTTAAAAAATAGAGAAGACAACCAAGCCCGCCGTTTAAATGGAGGTTTATAGGTTTCTTTTTTAGCTGTGGTCAAGGCCGCCGGACAATGCTATTAATCAGGACCCTCGACTCCTTTTCTATCTCTGTTTATTGTGGTCAATATTGTGGCCAGTTTGAAGGGCCTGTCTCGGGCTTAGACTGTAAATTGTAAACCTGGGGAATGATGGCAGTGCCACCCCAAAAAAAATCCCAAAAAAGGGAAAAACACTTAAACACTTAACGTCTAATCAAATTACATAATAAACGGCAAACAAAACGAAACCAGAAACGCTTAGCACCCTTAAGGCCGCCACTTACCCCGCTGTCAGCGAGCAAAGCCAGTTAGTTAATAAAAACGACATTTGCAATCATAAAACGCTTCAGCGATCCGATCAGATCCGAAGCCTCCCCTTCCCGCCAGCACGCGTTGGGCTAGGTCACCATGGTCGTCCATACACAAAGAGAAAATGCCTCATACAATTCAGGAATTTACTTTGAATTTAAATAGAAAGAACCCAATATTCAGCCAAGACATTTAGAAAAATGCAAAGTTAGAAATATTTTAAATATTTCAAAATCAAAGAATTAAATTAACAACTAATTTGTGCAATTTTCCCCAGTGTTTTCTTCCATATCAAAACTACCCTCGGCTTGGGTTATATCAAATGCATAATGAAACAGATTTTGATACGGCTTCGGGGACGTTGCCATCGTATTCATTGGATTGCAGCCGCTCGCACGAGCGTCAGATACATTTGTATCCTTGCGGTTGTCAGCGATCCCTTAATTTCCCAAGGATTCAAGATGGCAGCTCGATTCAGTTGACTGCCCTATGATAAATAGATACAAATCAGATCCTCCATATTGGCATTTTTATTCGGAAAAGAAGATTCTTTAGACCTAGAAAATATTCGATAATTAAATCCTAAAAATCCTCTAACTTTCATATAAAATTATTAAAAATTATTTATGAGCACTTATGAAGACGTTAATGTCTTATACGAATATAAATTTTTGTACTAAGCAAAAAAACAAAATTGGGAATTCTTAATATCGTGATAAAATTTAATTCTGTAGAAAATGTTATCATAAAACAGGAGATAAATCTACTTAAATAATTAATTTGATTTATTTATGCCAAGAAATATAGAAATACAGCATTCTACCTAGGTTTTTTTTTCAATAAGTTGTTCACTAATATATTAAAAATAAAATATTATAAAGATTAAAATATTTCTGTAAAGTATTTTATAGCTTTTTTGAAAGATTTTTTATCAAAGAGCAACCCCTATTCTTAGACATGTATTTAAAGACCTCAAAAAAACCAGTATTATTTATACACAGATGTAAAATACATGTATTTTACTCTAGTTCCAAGAATAGCCGCTGCATTCGCTTGAAATAGTGGCGCCACATCAACCAAAATGTATAAAGAATTTTACATTTCATGTCGGTTAAAACAAATAATTAAAAAATTATATAAAAAATATATATTCTGAGACTATTTAATATATAAGAATTACTTGAAAATTATGTATAGTCTTTCACATTTATTAGAAACCTTAACCACCTCACCCTAACGGGGTTAGTAAAAAGGTCATTGGGATTTCAGATAAGTTGTTTTGGCTTAAATGTGTATTCTTTTTATTTAAATGAATATTAAACCTGATTCGTTATTTGTTTTTTTTTTAATTTTATTCAAGTTATCGCAGAAACATTGAAATGATATATACTTCTCTTTGCACTTTTACAATATGGCACGTATTTTATTTTATTTACTTCCGTTTTGTTTTTTTGGTTTTTATAATTATTGAGTTGTCGCACTGTTGGCTTCATTTCTATTTATATTTGGAGTTTATAAGTCTCACGTATTTCTTGAATTGTTAACGTCAGACATTGGCGATGACTGTGCGTCATTCCACCTACCTTCATCTGCAGCTTCCGCATGATGCGGGTCTCCTCCCAGCGATCCAGTTCGTCCCACTCCTTGCCCCGCTTGCGCAAGAGATAGTAGCGGTACATGACAATAGTCACGGCCAGGAGCAGAGCCAGGCCAGTGCCGGCTGCGGCTCCCAGGACCGCTGAGCTAACCATAACCATTTTTGGATAGAGTTTGGTTTTCTGAAAGGAGAATTTCGATTTAATTTCATTTCATTAATTTATTTTTGTAAGTCTTGAGCTTTTAAGAAATATTAAATACAGCTTTAATAATAATAATGGTTTCCCTTTTACTTTTTGAATTTATTTAAATTATTTCAAAAAGCTTTTTCCTGATAATATTATTTATAATTGTTATTTATTTACATTCTCTTAAAGATAAAAATATGAAATTTGATATAACATATAAGATATAATTATTTACTTATTAATAATCTATTTTATTTCCAATCAAATTATTTTGACTTAAATGGCAAATCGAAATGTCTTTCGCTTTGGATATTCAGTTTGTGTCTCCCTGCAGGTGCTATACTCTTCCCCACTCTCGGCACTTTCACAAGAGTTAAGGCTTTCGTTCTCCAGATCGAAACGATCCTCTCGATTTCGCGATTTTCCTAAGGATTCTGCAGTTGTGATCACCACAAGAATCGCCACAAGAGTCGCCAGAAACCAAGCTCCAAAGGTGAGACGCATTCTGACCATTCGAGTTAAAACTATTCAAATGTGTGGTTCGGAAAAACTGCCTCCACCGATAGGCAGTGTTGAGCTACAGAAAAACAAACTCTTGTTTAGAGATACCCCAGATCTAGCGTCTCTGTGGACCTTTGTCTAGAGTCACAGCTGTGTAAACTTCTCTGATGCCGGAATTACCCCCATCTTGCAAAACAATCCCACATTGTGTTAAAGAACACGTCATTATAGTTTATTTTCTGACTGATGGCGTACATTGGAGATGTTAATCGATAAAGATATATATTAAAAAATCGGAAATATCGATTGGCAATACAAATTGAAAAAGGAAACATTTTTAAGTCAAAATTTCGATTCAACGTCGGAAAAGTTTATATTTAATATTTAAAAGTGAATTTTCAAACATAAATTTATATACCAGAGACACTTTAGGATCTATAATCGATATTCTTATCGAAAATATATCAAATTCGTCATTATATCTTTAACTAAAAGTCCAAATTCATGTGATGTACATAACCATTTCGTAGGATAGCAAATCGTGGATATGGCTTAAAGTCCTCTACATATTCGGGATATTTAAGGAAATTCAAGGGCACAGCATCAGTGGGTTTATCCACAGTGGCTTCATCCTCTTCCTCGTCATCCTCTTCAGCAAGAAGCTCCTCCTCCTCCTTTCCACTAATACCAGTTGCATCTCTTGTCTGCTCTGCAGTAGGATCTTTAGTTAGATAAGTTTCCTCATCCGTAGGATCCTTGCTTAGATGAGTTTCTTCATCCGTAGGATCCTTGCTTAGATATGTTTCGCCGCTCGTGGAATCCTTGGTTTTATATGTTTCCTCAGAAGTGGGCACCTTACCGAAATAAGTTTCCTTTGCCAATTTTTCTAGTAACTTTGAGTCCTCTATCATTTTTGCCATATCCGATTTATTCAGTCGCTTTAATTTTGCCCGATTAGAAGACTCTCCCAATAGCTTTGAGGAGGCTAGGCTAATGCCCAAAAAGACGATTAAACTGGAAACAAATACCAGTCGCATTTCGTTGACGTTCTAACGAAAACTGTTCGGTTCGACATTGAAAACAACTGTTTTAATCAAGAAATTTTGGCTTAGAAATTTTCGGTTTCTTTATTTGGAGAAGGAGAAGTTTTATAGTTCATAGAAAGTATTTTAGAAATGTTGAAGAATCTAGAAGACTTAGGCCCTGCGTAGCAGGAGACCACGCCTGCGGACCACGACTGGACCGTGACCACCGAATCTGGGCCAGAAGGGACGAATATGCTTCCTGGGCTTAGCGGTGGTGGTTGTGGTTTCATCCTCGGAGGAATCAGCATCGCTGGACTCTTCATCAACAGAGTTTTCTTCAGTTTCACTGGCAGCATCTCCTTCAGTTTCACTGGCAGCATCTCCTTCAGTTTCACTGGCAGCATCTCCTTCAGTTTCACTGACAGCATCTCCTTCGGTTTCACTGGCAGCATTTCCTTCGGTTTCACTGGCAGAATCTCCTTCGTTTTCCTCGCCAGTTGACTCCTCAGCATTGGTATCCTCAGCATCAGAATCTTGAGTTGCCTCATCACCAGTGGAAGCCGCAGTATCCTCTCCATCAGCCACTTCCTCGACAGCAGTATCCTCATCCTCGGCCGGGCGGGCAGCCACGAAGCCAACAGCCAGGAAGGCCAACAGAGCAACAATAATCAGGGAACGCATTTTGAACTTGAAGTCAACGAAGGTACTACTTTCCAATTTCGCTCAAGACCCTACCTTTTATAGGAAAAGTCGCGCAAATTTTGTTGGCCGATTATTACCAAAAATCTTTATTTACCCATTTTGGTTGTTTGGACAATTGTCTCAGTGGAAAGTTTACAAGCTTTTATTTTTTTGGTTATTCGCGTCAGTAGAGCTTGAGATAGCTCTACAGAGTTCCCAGTCTGGTGGGACGAGGGATCAAGACCACAGGACCAATGCCGCCCCATCGGGGCCATCTGGGCCTGGGTGAAATAACTGGATCATCGCCGGAAGCTTCTGAATCATTTTCACTTTCTGTGCTGTTGTTGTTACTGCCACTCTCAGCTGAACTATTATTATTGCTGTCACTCTGATCAGCAGGCCAAGCTGCGGCCAAGGATATGGCCAGGAAGGCTACCAAGCCCAAAATTATTAGAAAGCGCATCTTTTTTTTCAGCTTTTTTTCACAGCAACTAATGAACAGTTTTGCTTCCCTTTTTATAGAGAAAAGTGACCACTTTCTTTGTTTTATTTTTATTTGTTTAATGCTTTTGTAAAAGTTGTAAGCCACAAGCTGAACAATCTTTAGATTATATTGTCAGCAAACACTTATTTTAATTGCAATATGTGAGAGCTTTCCCTACCGATGAATAAACTTATTAACTAGTATTATTTTAGCACGACTTTATAGCTTTATTTAAATATAATTATAAATTGTTTAACCTTGAAAAATTACATCTGGTTAGAGGTGGCACAAACTGGGTGGTGCTAGTGTGCAAAGGCCACCCAGAGCCACCCTGGGCAGGATCTTTATTTGGAGAATCCGTTAGTGGCAACATTTGCTTAACTGGCCATGTGGCTGCCCAGGAACAGGACAAAAAAGTCACCAAACCCAAGATGATTAGAAAGCGCATATTCTCTCCAGCTTATATTCACTGCAACTTATATGCAGTATTGCTTACCATTTTATAGGAACTACTGACCACTTTTATTTGTTTTCATTAGTGATATTTAATTATTATTAATTGCTTTAAGCTACAAGCTGTTTAATCGGTATAATGTCATTAAAAAAGTATGTGTTTATATATATATTACAGCTGCAATATGTACACTTTCTAAGGTGAGGATGGGATGAGGTGAGGAATTTATAAATATTTTATTTTAAATATTCATGGATAATATAAATATTTTTATAAAAAAAAATAATATAAATAATAATAAACACTTAAAAAAATTTTAAACCACACTTTTCATTTATTATTTTATTCTTCCATTATTTTAATTATGTCAATGAAAAGTCTCACAACTTTTTTATATATTTCTTAAAATATACTTCCTTCATGTAGCAGGTCTCTTGGTGAGATAGTACCAAAGATAGGGGTAACCCGGAAACGGTTTCAAAACGCTGGGACATTCTGGAGTACCTCCATAATAAGGACATGGTTTGCCACTCGAATCAGTTGGCAATGTCAAGGCGAAGGAAATACCAAGAAGAGTAGCCACCAGGCCAAATACGATTAGAAAGCGCATCTTTAGTCCATTTACTCTTACTGACTGTAGTTGCAAGTCAGGTTTGCCTTTTATAGAAAAACTTAAACATTTTTATTTTTATTTTTATTTTTTATTTTTTTTTTACACTGTTTAAGCTACAAGCTGTGTAATCGTAATAATGCAATACTAGCAAATAAATACCTCAGTTACAATATAACACAACAATTTAGAAAATATATTACATAAACCTAGCTATGTCGATCTTAATGAATTGTAAACACCATAGAGCTTGTTTTAAATTTTTTAGAATTTTGCATAATATTTACATAATATTATTATTAAATTTATTTCAAAGGAAACTTAAATCCATGCCATGGAAACCATTTGTATGGACATCCTGGAGCTGTTGCATTGGAAGAGCAGTTATATTTTATTCCACTTGAATCAGTTGGCCATGTTTGGGCTAGGCAAAGTTCCAGGAAAGCTACAAGACCAAATAAGAGTAGAAAGCGCATCTTTAGTCTATCTTTAGTTCACTCCCACTAATGTGAAACTTTCCTTTTTATAGAAAAAAAAATACTCTGTATTTGTTCAAGTTGCAAGCTGTGTAATTTTTATATTGCAGTTATACAAATATATACTTTAGCGTCAGAAAGGCTTGCCATATTCTTCGGAATAATTTATAAATTTCTAACATTTGTATATTTTTTAAAAAGTCCCTTAATTACTGGTGTACCTAGTCACCATATCTGTTGAATACTTTTAGGCTTTTCTTAAAGACACTAAAATAAATTGTTTAATGCCACTCCCTTTCTATATATTTATTTTTTAAAAAAGTAAAACAACACTTAATTTTCGGGTTTCAAGGTCACAAGGTCGGTGGGTGAAATGTGCCAAATAAATGGAAAGCCTTTCCATGGATACGATTGGTATGGACATCCTGGCGCACTTGGATTAGAAGAGCAATTAAATTTTTCATTCTGATTGACTATCAGATAGGCCAGGGAAAAAGACAGGAAAATCGCCATCAGGCCAAGGATGATTAGAGCGCGCATCTTTAAACCACTTTATTTTACTGCAAATAATAAGTTAGGCCGCTTTCGCTTTTATACCTACAAGTTTTATTTATTTAAGCCACAAGCTGTTCAATTGCAGTAGCAATTAATATTTTACCTACGATGTATTTCCAATGCATCTAAACAGTAACTAAGTTTTAAGTTTTAACTAACTTTCCTTATTATTTTGTAAGCCTTTCTTTATGTTCTGGCAATTTTAAATCTAATTATTAAATTGAAAAAAGCTTTATTTTAATATCACTTATTTTATAATAATGAAGATTTCTGAAAGTGCAAATATATTTAAATCAAAAATATTTAGTTAAATTAATTTATGTTGGCAAGGAAAAGAGGCCTGGCATGGATAAAAACTGGACCGTGATTGCGTCTTGACCAGAAGGGACGTGGACGCCTCCTGGGAGGACGATTCTTGGATGGACCATCCTGCTGATCACTGTTATCTTCGCTATTATCTTCGCTGTTATCTTCGCTGTTATCTCCACTGTTATCTTCGTTGTTTTCTTCATTGTTTTCTTCGTTGTTTTCTTCATTATTTTTTTCATTATTTTCTTCATTATTTTCTTCGTTGTTACCCTCGTTGTTTTCCTCTCCGTTGTTATCACCAGAGGTTCCATCTTCGTTGTTTCCTTCATTGTTATCATCACCAGAGGTTCCATCTTCAGAGTCACCTCCATTGGATCCCTCTTCTACAGTAGTTTCAGCATCGGCATTATCTCCTGTGGATCCAGTTTCAGACTCAGTCTCTGAGTTGTCTCCACTGGTTCCATCTTGGGTCTCAGTCTCGGAATTACCTCCACTGCCCTGCTCCGACTCCTCATTATTATCAGATTCCTGGTTTCCATCGGTAGATTCTTGATCCCGCAAAGCAGCAGCTCCCCAAGGCTGTTCGTCTTCGCCCTCATCTTGGGACACCACAGGTGTCTCCTCGTCCTCAGCTGGTCTGGCAGCCACAAGGCCAACAGCCAGGAAGGCCAACAGAGCAAAAACAATCAGACACCGCATTTTTGGAAGTGAAGTCTTTAAGAAATTCAAATGATAACTGGTTTTGGATTTCGCATGTTCCTTCGCTTTTTATATGGAAAGTCTGGCGAAATTTTGAGCGAAATCGTTTGTTATTTTTATTTTTGAAGCTTCAATTACGCATTATATATTTGAACAAATGCTTCAGAGGGGAATGGGCTTTACAATTATTATTATTTTAATTTATGACGCATATTAATTGCCAAATGTGCCCAAAGAATTGCTTAAAACGCGATCAGGCTTCAACGAATTTAATGCGTCAGAGTTTGTTTTTGTTTAGAAGACCTCTTAAACAATGGTTTAGAAAAGTTCTTAGAAGAGAACTAACAAATAGTGAGTGTTTTTTTCTGAAAATTGATCTTAAATAACTGTCAAACTCTGCAAAAATATTATTATTGTGCTAATAAAATATTTTGAGTGATTTATTTACCATATAACAAAATATTTTTAAAAATGATTATGGATGAAGGGATTTATATAAATATTTAAAATAACGATACTACTTAGAACCTTCTCTATTTTTGAATAAAAACAAAAACATCTATAGATAGAATATATAGTTTTTTCTTGTTAATTTCAATAATTATATATTTAATTAACCAATTAAATGTCTATTCTTTTAATACATACCCTGCATTTTATTAAATATTAAGGAGCTCCCTAATTATAAAAACGGTTTTTTTTAAATTTAATTACTTTTTTTTAATAATCGAAAAATTAAATTGCAATTGTTTTTTGATTAAACAATACAAAACGTGTTAATTGTCTATATAATTCCCAAAAATTTACAATATAAAGAAAACACCAAATTTTGTTTTTAACCCAAGGGCATTACCAGAGTTCCAAGTATTTATTAAAAATTAAAAAAACGTTGGCCTATTAGGCTATTGTTATTGTACTTTGTATCTATGTGTGAACAGGTGTGCTGCAAACAGCTAACGAACGGCATAAACAGGTAATATTAATATTGAATCAACTTTTCGGTTGATAGAAAAGCCTCAGTGTAAATTTCCTTTACATTTACTCTTCATCTTGGGGCTCTTCATCATCGTTCTCATCCTGAGAATCATCATCCTCATCCTCCTGCGGTTGGTCTTCTCCTTCATCCTCCTGGGACTCGGATTCTTCTTCATCATTCTGATCATCGCTAGAGTCTTCATCTTCCTCCTCCTCCTCAGGATCATTCTGTACGTTCAGGTCCTTTTCCTTCTCAGCAGCAATTCTCAGATTCTCCTCCTCGTCAACAACATCATCAATCTCGACAGGATTGGCGGAAACAGTGGCCAAAAGCACACAGCCAAAGAGAGCTAACAGCAGCAAGACACGCATGGTGGGGTTTAGTTTTTAACTAATTAAAGCTCCGCTTTTAAAAAAGGTTTTTATAGCAAAATTTGCTGAAAAAATATATTAGAGGGTGACAATTTCTATGTCCCATTTTGTGTTTACTCCACGACAGCTGTTGCCTTGGTTTTGCGGCTCGAAAATTGGCAGAAGTCGTGCGTAAACATTTGGTTGAGGGAATTTGGTGTACAAGTTAAAGAATACAGTGGAAATTAGTTAATTGGGATTTATAATTATAGGAAGAAAATAAGTTAAAATAACTTGGATATGTTATCTATAAATATGATAAAGATAGAGCAGAGATAGAGAGCTCCCATTCATTATATAGTAGTAAAAAGTTTTATTAAAAACAAATAAGTTTACGTTTTGGATCAGAAATAAGCATATTTTTAAGAATATATTTTAGAATGTTTTATGAAATATCAACTTTAAGGAAATTTTACTTATAAGTAAACTTCCCTGTTGTTATTATTTTACTAACATCTAACACTTGCTTCCTTTAAATTTCAGAAAAAACATCACAACTACAGATACTTCATCTCTGCACACCTCTCAGTTATCGAATGATATGATTCATATCTTATATATACCGTGCTCTTTCCGATTTCTAGAGTTTTCTAAATATTTAAACAAGTGTTTCGCTTTTGAGAGTAAACCGAAAATAAAAGTGAACCTCCACGAAAAGTTGTTAGAACCAACGAACCTTGATGCTTGTTAGCTCAGTGTAATCATGTCCCAATCAATCGATCGATTTGTACCACTTATCAAAGATATAAAAACAAAGCGAATCGTACTACAAATCATAGTCTCAGTTGCACTCAGCCTCAGTCTAGTTTTTGGTAATCATGCGCTCCATTGCCTTTGCCATTGTGATCTTTGCCGGTATCCTGGCCTGCAGCAGTGCAGCTCCCCAACTGAATCGCTTCGATTTGGGTTGGCTGGATGCGATCCTCAGGGAGGCGGGTCAAAGGAACAACACGGTGCGATTCGGCAATAACACGATTATCGTCTCGGGCGTTTCCAATGCCGTTGCTAGTGCCAATGATGGAACCATCAACCCAAAACCACCAGCGAACCAATGGAATAACCAGGGATTTAACCCATGGAACAACTACAGGTATCCTTATTACAACGGCTACTACTATCGCGCCTCACCCACTGAGGATGGTGTAGAGATTGTGGAGGTGCCAGTGTCCAGCAGCGAAGAGTCCCAAGAGACGGCCTACGATATCAGTGACGACCAGTCCGAGGAGGATGTTTACCATCAGGAGGATCAAACTGCAGAAGACGAGGAGGATGAGGAAATGGATGAGGCTGAGGAGGAGATGGACGAAGAACCTGAGGATGCTGAAGATGCTACCAACGAGCAGCCTGAGGAGGTTGAGGATGAGGTGATTGATCCCGAGGAGGAGGCTGTTGATGCCGAGTTGGAGGTCATTGAAAAGGAGCTGAACGACGAGGAAAGCAATTAAATTGTTTGAAATATTCACGTAACCAACTCAAAAATGCAATAGAATATTTATAAATCAACAAAAAAATAGCAAAATCTAAAAAATTATCATCAAGCAACAACCTGTTATAAAACATTAACTTCATTTCATATTTTTGGGATTATCCATAAATAAAAAACGTATATACAAGAATCGAAATTTGTTTTAAATTTATCTCTAGCATATTTTGCAGCATAACATACATAAAATAAAAGAAATGCGTTAGAAAAAATATATTTAAAATGCCTTATATATTTTTTAGAAATTGAAGAGCTTTGTTAGCCTTTAAATTGTATAAAACTTTTAACATCTTTTCTTAAATTTGTACTAAAGAAGTCCATTGAAATCTTTTTAAACTGAACTAATAAATATATCATAGAAATTTCTAAAATACCAAAGCTTCACCATCATTTAAACTTAAAAAAGCCTTATATATTTCCTCTTAAATTCTTCCCACAACTTCTTAAGACTTCCTTTTATATTAAACAAAAAATTGAAAAATACCATTCTGATGCTGTTTATTTGCTGGCGCCCACTAGAAAAATCTAATGATGTTTATTTGAATGCACAAGCTGTGGAAAATCTAGGCAGCAGTGAAAGCACTTTCTGTTTGGGTTCCCATTCTCCCACCAGATTCCAGGGACAAGGACAACAGCCATTGACAACTTGTGCGCAATTGTAAACAGTTAGAGGGAAAAAAAAAGGCGGGGCGGTTGTCTTGGCTAAAAGGAACGATATAAAGGCGCGATGCCAGCGAAGGAGAAGTTAACACAAGTCAGGTGCTCGACGACCAAAGGTGAATTGCATTATAATGCGGCGCGTGTTTGTAATTTTTAATGGCGACAATGAGATTAGTTGGTCGGCGGTTGGACTTGTCATGGCTTAAACGGCATCCACATGCGCTTAACTCGATTGCTGGCGATGGCCCAGAGTGCTGTTCCGTGTTGGCCATTTGCCTATGTCGACCTTTCTTCACCCACCACCACCCACCGCTCAATGCCAATCAATGTCACGCACACAGCCATACTGATTCGAAGGGACATATTCACGCACGCATTCCCCTGACAGGCGTCCGTAAGGACTTAATCATAATTTGATTCAAGTTCGACTTGGCCTCGTGCCACTGACGGAAATTGTAGCATACATTTCAGCGCGCTAAAAATAAGCTTCCCCCGAGACCCAACCGCTTCGGAATTTAAGTCAAAACCTGCCATAATTGCCATTCTTTTTTCAATTACGCAGCCTTGGGTTCCGCATAATTGAAGAATTTTTATTGGCATTGAGTGGGATTTAGCGGAAACACCTTTAAATTTTGAAATTCCTAATTACCGATTAGCTGAGCTTCAAATAAATTCATTGAGAGGAGTTCAGGTGAGAGAAATGTAATTATTTTTGTGTATTTAGGTAGACTTTTATGTATTTTTAAGGGAGAAGAGAATGATTTTAATGTGGGTATAAGTTTTTGAGATACATTACCATTCGAAAGAGCTACAAAAAATCAAAAAGGAGTGTCTCTTTATTAAATTAATTATAAGTTATAAAATTCTTTAAAAATAATTCCAGTGAATAAATTTTAAAAATAAATTCTTCCCTTTTAAGCTCTTAAAATACTTTAATAACTTCTACAGAAATGAATTAATTCCTCAACTGAAACTCCCACAAAGTATTCAGTAGTGAAAAATCACATTCAATAGCATATTTTCTTTACGCTTTAGAAATGTCCGCTTTGATTGAATTTCCATAGAAAAAAATACAACACTCAACCCCTTCGAACTGGCTTTCAATGGAATTGCATTAAATTTTGCCTGGACTCCGTTTTAATTAAAACAGAAACCTTTTTGTGATCGAGCTTAGGCCACAATATGAATCGCAGACAAAGAGAAATAAGCCACGGGAAGCGCCCGTTTCCTTTGCTGACTCAGAAGACAATTGCTCCATTTCCACATTGGTCTTTATGTGTGTGTGTGTATATATGGTCAACAGTCCGTGCCTCGGAATGGCATCACATGTTCACGTCCATTACACTTGACCCCCTGGCAACACCTTTCCTCGATAAATCCCGAAAAAAAACCCTCCAAGTCCCCCCTTTTGCCCAGCAATGACATTCTTGCTTGCAGTCTTTATACGTTTGGGGTTCAAAGCAATTCGCTTTATGGCCGTGATTGCAATCGATTCCTTAGCCCAGTTAATGGGCACACACATCCACACATGCACAATTCCCATTCACTTTCTTAGCCACTGACCCCGTTCGATTGTCGACGACCTTGTCCCGGCTGCCGTCAATTAAAGTAATTCTCTTGGCGGTTCTATTGGATTATATGAAAAACCATAAATAAAACGAGTAAAATTTAACAAAATGAAGAGATAAATTTAAGAGAAAATAACGAGAGACTTTTCTGGACGAAACAAAGATGGTCTAAATCGAAATTTTTAAAGGAAAAGATCATAACTTATGAGTTCCTTATTCAAAATTTGGATTTCAACTGATGAAAACACTAATACAAATATATTTTAAATATTTTCATGCTTAAAAAGAAACGAACAAAATATGAAAGCAGTGCGCAAAGCTCTTTAAATAATATAAAGATGTTTATAATATATTTTTTATGTTGTTTTTAAAAGCATTATTTTCATGCTTAAAAAAAGAAGATAATTATTATTAGCAAACCCTAAAACTTTATAATTAATACGGAGAATTTTTATAATTTAGTAAATGTAGTTCTTGGAATTATTATTATTTATTTTTCCAAATAAAACCAAATAGTTTAGTAACTAATTACCAGAATTACAAAATTTTCCAAAAACAGACTTCCAATTTAGTTCCACGGAATTTTCTCTATTTTCGAGCTTTGCACAGGTCAAATTATTGCAATTGCCGCACCAAGAACTCAATTGCTATAATTCCTGTTGACACAGTTGACATGTTTTGGTCAATTTGACATGGTCTGGACCCCATGCACGGTAATTTGCATACAAAAAAATTACGAAACTTTGTCTAGTCCCAGAAGGGAGTCGCAGACGAGGCAAAGGCAATGTCCCGGGACACACACTGCGGGGCGGAGCAAGATATGCCATGTGTTGACTTTAAATTATTATTTGTTGATTTTGCGGGTTCACGGCTTATGACAGGACGAAGAAAAAAAGGAAGGAAAATATAGAAAAAATAGAAAAAGAGAGTGGCAGTGAGTTTGTGGTTTTAGAGGTCAGTGGCTTAGATTAAAAATGTTGTTGAGGTTTAAGAAAAGAAATTAATTTTAGGGGAAAGAATATAATAATATAATATCGTATGCAATGTTCTACATTCTTTCCTAAAATAGCCCTCAAATTGGTTCATTCCACTACTCTTATATCTTAAATTAATCTTTCCAACCAACAATAAGCCCCAAGCTAAACAAATTCCTTAAGTTTTCCAGACAAAATCCCTCCCATAACTCTTACTTATCCCTGCTCCTGTCACACACAAACACACACACATTCCATAACTAACTATGCTGCTCATCTCCTGGGCAATCATTTCCTTAAACGTCGGACGCTAATTTCTGTTTGCTCACATTTTTACTCTGCTCTCGATCCCAGTCCCAATTCCGCCCGGAATACCAACTCTTGCCCACAAATAAACACAGCCTGTGGGTCTGTCCATGTGGAAACGGAAGTGTTGCCAATTGTTATGTCAATGATGGTGATGGCTGAGCTCTCATCAAGTCAGTTGAATGTCAAGAGGAGAAAGTGAAAGTGCGAAAGGGCCAGCGGAAGACGAGATTAACCATTTCGTGCAGTGTACGTACACATATGCTGTCATGTGCAAGGGATTATTAGGGCCAGGCCTTTATCATATCTGATGTTTATTCATTACTTTCGGCTTATTAAGCTCGTCATTGTGTTTGTAATAAAGAAATCATGCTTAAACAGATGCAAAACTGATGAATATGTTTCACTAAAAGAGCAGGTCAAATTAATATTAAAATAATATAGTTTTAAAGTCTATATTGTGCGCTTTCTAAACCTAGATCAAGCTCCAAGGCGAAAAAAAAACTAGAAATAGTCCAACTTTTGACATTTACAAGTATAATTGATGCAATTTGGGGAAACTGCACAAGAAGAACTCCCCGTCTGATGGGCCGTGAACTTTCGCGGGCATTAATTCATTTGCATAGCTGCCGTTCAAAGCTCTCTCTCCCTCTCTCTCTATTGAAGGGAAACCCACCCCCAGGTTGGCGATGCGTAGTGGGAGTGGTCCGCTGGCGCCAGTCCCCTAAGCCCCGGCCAAAACCCTAAAAATAAACATGGAGCAAAAGCACGTCACTGCCAAACCGGCCCACCACCACCACCACCAACTCCCACTATTCCCGGCGAGCATAGATTGTGCCTCAATATGCTCCTCCGGTTACATAGACAAAAACAAAAGCGGGTCCTGTCCAAACTGCGGGAATAAAAATAACAATAGACCCCTTTTTTCTGTGTTGAGTATCCCATCTTCATAGCATAATGAATCAACAAGTGCAAAAAGGTTTCCTTTTTTTTATTTTTGTTGGGAAATCCATCTCTTGCGCCGCTTTGAATTTGCATAAAAGCCCATCAAAATTTCAATGAAAATTGCACCTGAAACGAGTCGATCGTTCGTTCGAACTTTGGAACAATGCCCGAGAGTTCCTTTGATTTTCACTTTGCCCCTCCGCTTTTATCCTGGAATTAACATTTTGATTGGATATTTCAATATTGCGCCATATGGCAGGTTGTTTGCCGGCTGGTTACATCTGGGTTTGGGGCTGGTCAGAACTGGTTGTCCACGCTAGTTGATTTCGCACCTTTAATGCCGCCACAGAGCCCTCTGTTTGCACTCTACTCCAGCCAATTATTATATAAATCTCGATAAGATAAGGCGGGAAGTACTTACTCGTTCTGGTTCTGGGTTGGTAGAGAGTTGGCCATAAATTAGCACTTAACTTGGGTGCAATTGTTGAAAATTTTCATCAAGAGAAAATGAAGAGAAAACCCCGCTAAAACACAAAGAGAAATTCCAACAAATGCTCTATATATATACACGAAATTTATTTAACGAGTCCCTGGCGCTCCTTAGATCACCTGAGTGGTCATCAGTCCCTCGTCTTCGACTTGGGGAAGCACAGCCAGCTCGGGAATGGGAACGGGAACAACATCGGCAACGGGCAGGACATCGGGAACAGCAACCACATCGGGCACCACGGCGGCACTGAGAGTGGCATCCACAGATGGCTTATCCTCAGACACCACACTAGTGGTGGTGGTGGTGGTGGAGGAGGAGCCAGAGCTGGACGAGGAGTCCACTGGAGCAACCACAGGCTTGACAAGACGGCGCCTGGGCAAGAAGGGAGGAGACTGGTAGTTGTACCAGCTATTGTCCCAGTACCTAGGACCAGAGTTCCAGCCACCGGGATACCAGCCATCAGAGCCATAGTCGGGCCAGTAGCGAGGATAATAGGGATAACCAATGCGGCGCTTGCCCACCGACACTTGGGGCAGGATGGCTGGGGTGGCCACGGCTTCATCCAGCTGGACAGCGGGCACAATGCCGGCGTTCTTCACCAGCAAAGTGGGTGGCACAATGCCGGCGTTCTTCACCAGCAAAGTAGGAGGCTCCACAGCCAGCTTCATTTGGCCAGAACGAAGGGATCTGCCACGGATAGACACCTGGCCGGAGGACAGGGCCACCAGGGTGACGCAAACGAGAGCAACAAACAGACGCATTTTTCACAACGAGTAACTTCTTTCAACTGACTTTCTCTGGCCTTTGCTCCCACTTTTATAGCGGGAATAATTTACTTCTTCTCTTCAATAATATTTCATAATAATATTTATTCAAATATTTATCCATCCGAATTTCGTCTCTGCAATTAATTTTAGGGGGAGTTTTGACACCTCCCCGGGCCTTGGCAATCCGTGCAAATTATTTAACCACGTTTGCGTAGTTTCATGTTTGTTTAGTTGGGTTTCTCGGTTCTCGACATTTGGGGAATCGAAAACAGATTTTCCGCTGAATAGTTGTCATTAGCGGTTGCCAAATGACTTCGTTCGCCAGCTGTTTAATTGTTTCACACAATTAGGTAATTAGAAGGTTAGATTTGCATATGAATTACGATTCCGGTTTCCGAATTCGTTGAAACGAAATTAGGTTTTACAAGTTAGCAAAGTAGACAGCTTATTATATGGCTTCACATTCAAATTATAACTGATTTCTTGGCTTAAGAAAAATTCTGAACCTATAATAATTACACAGAACAGAACCAGAAAAAAATGGTTTATTAAACAGAATTTATTTATTTTTCAGATTTTATATATATATTTTTTTATTATCAAATAAAATTTAACTTAAACCAGAAAATTGTCAATTCATACCAACTAATTTTTCAATTTTAATGCTAAATATTATAAATAAATGAGTCTTTTAAGCTAAACGGATTACAACTGGTCGAATGAGTTATATTTTAATATGCCCATATAGGAAAAATATAAATATTAATTCTGTACATTTTCTTATTGGAGTCATAGCTTAGCAACTTCCAAATGTTCAAATTGAAAGTGAATATTAAGTTAATCTCTGCATTTTCGTTCTGTAAAACAGTATTTCTATATATTATATATACCAATCAGCTTCACTTTAAGATAAATCACGTTTTATTCATCTTGTGATAATATATTTTCATCTTTTTAAACTGTATTGCAGTTGGGTTTTCGACCTTGATTTAAACACGAGGAGCTAACGGCCTTTATGAAAAATTTTGATTTGCATACAACCCACTATATAATTAACATTTATATATATACCAAAAGTACCAGGCTTTCAGCTTAACTTAAAGTTAGCTACGTGCACTTAAGCCCACTCCTCTTCCTCCTCATAAACCACAGCGTGCGACATTGCTCATACGCCATGTATGCCCGCCTTTAAAACGGATTAAGCCAGGGTCTTAGCCAAGCGGCGTAATTAAAAAATCTTAAAGCGAGTGCTCAGGAGGGGATTGAAAACAACAATAAAGAACTTGTGTGCCAGGCGAAGGAGCGTGAAAGATGAAATTTAAGCCATGGACATGCCAGTGACAAGCTGTCTCGCCATCGACTGGCTGTCTTTGCTCCCGTTCCAAGACCAGTGCCAGTGCCAGGTCCTACTTTCTGCTCCTTCTACGCTTTCGTTCTCCTGGTGACAGTGAAGCCATTCAAGCGTGCACACACAGACATCAATGAAAGTTTGTTGCCGTGGTCAAGTTTTGGCAGCTGAGCTGGCCTTAATTTCTTAACAACTTATAAATTCGAAAATTGCCACAGCAACTTTAACCAATTTGCCGCCAGTGGCCTTGTCTATCCGTTACCTGTTGGCCATATCCAACACGCACATGTATATACACATATATATATCCTTGACGTCATTAGACAAACCAAATAAAAACAAAAACAAGAAAGGAAGCTAACTTCGGCACGCCGAAGTTTGTATACCCTTGCAGATTGGTTTTTATATATATATTATAAATTCTAATGCTGAAGACACACACAAAACAGAGTTTCATTACATTTTACCTATACTTATTATGTTTACAGTTTGACAGTTAGAGTTTTACATTCACACCTTTACATTTTCTCTACATCTACCGATCGGTTCTAGGGCAGCTATATGATATAGTTGTCCGATTTTTTTGAAATTTATACCAAAATTCTAGAATAATAAAATAAGCTTATATCACGGAGTAGATGAAAATACGTTGAAAAACAACGAATCTATAATTTTTTTTCTATTAATTTCCCGATCGTTCCTATGGCAGCTATATGATATAGTCGTCCGATTTTCATAAAATTTTTACCAAAATTCAGAAATAATATAAAATGGTCATATCTAAAAAATGGTGCAAAAATGTTAAAAAACAGCAAAGTTATAATTTTTTTTCTAAAAATTTATCAAACATTTGTATGGCAGCTATATGATATAGTCGTCCGATCCGGCCCGTTCCGACATATATAGCAGTGAGAGTATATAGAAGACTATGTGCAAAGTTTCATTCAGATAGCTTTAAAACTGAGGGACTAGTTTGCGTAGAAACGGACAGACGGACAGACGGACAGACGGACAGACGGACAGACGGACGGACAGACGGACAGACGGACAGACGGACATGGCTAGATCGACTCGGCTATTGATGCTGATCAAGAATATATATACTTTATAGGGTCGGAAACGTCTCCTTCACTGCGTTGCAAACTTCTGACTGAAATTATAATACCCTGCAAGGGTATAAAAAAGGACAGAGCATAACAACAAATTAGGCTTACAGTCCCATGTAACGCCTACTAACTGGCCAAAGCGAGTGAGCTGCAGAGGCGTAACGAATATGGAGAAAAATTGTACATTGAATACCCGTAGATTGTTCGTTGATAAGGGACAACTATCTTATCAGATACAGATACAGCTGGAGATACCGCCGCAGATACACAGGAAAGCGAAACGAAAGCCCAACTTTCACTCTCAGGAAATGCAAAAAAATAAAAATAAAAACCAGGAGAACCCAAATCAGAGAGCTCTTCAAACTAGTTTGGCCTTTGACCTGGCAAACTTTTGTATATTTCTGTGGTGCCTGCGCCCCACCAGGCGGCAAGGGCAAACAATCACAGATTTAATAAGCCAAGCCCTAAGAATGGAGAGAAATATCAACTTGAATGGCAAATATTCAACAGGCGGCAGTTGGGGACTGGCTCTGCTTGCCTTTTGCCTGCTTTCTTTGGCTTTGACTTTGGCTTTAGTGTTTAAATGGCTGGGATTAGGGCCGAAAGACGCTTTAACTGCGAATTTCCAGGCTTTGGCCTGATGCGATTACTTATCAAATTGGATTTCTTCATCGCCTCCCTCGGCTTTCCATTCAAACTTGTTGCGGGTTTTTGTGGATGGCTTAAAGTGACATCAGACACGTCTTTAAGGGGAACGTTATTTTTAAGTGCGAAATTAGAGTTGAGTTTGAATAACAAGAAAATGTGGGAATTTAAAACTTATTAATTGATATTTTATTAATGATAAATGATCAATATTATTGTTAATTTAAATGTATCATTAAAACCTTATATTCTGGGTGGTTAAAGTTGATAATGTCTGAGAAAAATATAAATATAAGGACCTATAACAATTTAAATGACTTTTACATGCTACAATTGAAGACATTATTTAGCCAATAAAAATATAAATAAATAAAATACAATCGATTGATTTAGGAGTACCTGTAATACTCATAAAATTTTCAATTTATTAAAGAAAAGATGGATCTAATCGTTTGTAACACGTTTTTAAAACGGGTATTTTTCTTTTATTTAATTTATAACTTATTTTTTATTATTATTATTATATCTTGGAATCATATATTTTTAAATTGTGTTACAAAATCATTTAAACTTAACTTCAGCTTATAAACATCCCACCAATCTTTACCTCCATTTTCCCCACCAAAACCCGATTAATTAATATCTCAAGCTTACCTTGTCACCCCTGAATTCTTTCCAACTTGTAGAGCACAAAACTTGACCGTTATATATTGTTTTCGAGTGATTTTTGATTGTTTACTTTTAGCCAAAGTCTGGATAATTAATCATCTCCTTTGCCGCACAGATCATTAATATTCAAAGCAAAACTTTGGAAACACACTTTCAGCAAATATGCAAATCCAGCGAAAAAGTTAAACACCGGCCAGCCGCCGCAATAATCGAATTCAAGGTCTTACTTTTCCAAATATTTTTGTTTGTTTTTGTTTGTAATATTTATGCGCGAGACAATCGAATGAATCTCATTTTTAATGCAAAGTCCAGAGACACACACAAGACACAAAATAAAACCGGGATCCGACAACCGAATTTTTGTATGGAAATCAGCAAACAAAACTCGCAAATCACCGCCAAAAAAGACCGCTTGGGAGCTGCTAGAAAGGACCGCTTGCCACAACGACAGGATAGCCAATGCTAGACGATGCGCCATTCAACGCTACCATATGTTAGCAATTCCTGCCTGTCCGCGATACCACGGTTGTTGCTGCAGGGAAAGCTCAGCTTCGCTTCGGACTCGTCCTGCTTCGGGTGTTTGAAACGACGGACAGACGGAAAGCTCTCCTTCGACCTGTGTTATCAGTGGGCGGCGTGCTGTGGCTGATAACGAGCTGGCCAGTAATTATCAAGGGTATGTCAAAGGGAAGTGTCCACTATGCCAACGGGTTGGTTGAAAAGCTTTTCAGCGAGCACAGGAAATCAGGAAAAATTCAATTAAATTTATGAGAGAAAAGGGTGGAGAGGAAATTGTGTGTGTTTGGGAATTTTATTGGATTTTATAAGATTTTTTTATAATTTAGGAAAAAGAAAAGGCAACTCTTGAAATTATAATTAATAAATTTAAAAAAATATAGAAATATATATAGAGTACAGAAGTATTCTCTTTACCTGTGAGGGAGGCACTGCTTTTACTCCCCCTGACTGTGGGTGGGTTAAGGACAGGCCTTCCTTTAGATTGATTCCCTGCTGGACGTGCGAAAACATTGCAGCTTTTCGCGTTCATTTGACGTAGAGCTGCCCTGAGGCGAGGTACTTTACTTTACTTAATGCTCGCCAACCGGCTTTGGTGTCCTTGGGCAGCAGCAGCACTTGACATTTGCCCGATCAACCAACCCACTATTCCCTCCCTCAAAACTTGTTGAGCTTAATACCAGCATTGGACAAGACTGGCACAGCTCTGCAATCCGTTTTGTGCTTCTGGCATATTGTTGAGGAGCACTTGTGTTTATGTCCGTATGGTGGAGTTGGTTATTAGCTACCTCTTGGTTTTCAAGGACATCAAGTATACGCAATGGTGACTAGGTAATGGGGAAGGTTTAGTCAAAGATTAATATCACATCACTTACCCCTAGTTTAAGTTTAATTCCTTATTAACCATTTAAAAACTGTTTTTTCTACTTCATTAACATGTTAACTTTTTATTTGAATGATTTTGATGTGAATTGAATTCTTAATTGTCCATTGAATCCTCTCACCCATAAGGCACATTCCATATTTCTGTACAGAAAACTTTCAAAGGAAATAACTCAAAAAACATAATAAATATAAAATCAATTTCGGTTTAATCAAACTTATTAAAAATAAACTTAGACAGTTAAATCCAAATTAAATAGGGTCTCTGCTTAAACAAAATTTAAAAAATACTGGGACTTGGATTGGGTTTATGCTTACGTCTACACTTGGGCGGTAATAATACAAATAACACTTACAGACGATCAATTACATGCCTAAGTTTGGTGTGGTTTTTGCGCGAATCCTTAAACTAGGTTACACAACAGCTTAAAACATAGTTTTTCAAGGGGAGAGAATGGGGGATTTACAGGTAATTTTTTTAATCTAAAAATGGATCTCATGCTCTTAGAAAATGTCTTCGATTTATGGCTTTACTTAAGTTAAGGTGGCTTTCCTTCACCTCAATGATGCCGCGCATGCGCTCTTTTGGGCTTCTGCATCGTTGGCCAGTCTAATCTGGCCAAAGAAGGCAGACCATTGGCATCATTACTATTATTATTTGAGATAGAATTCTGCAACGATGTGGTTGGCGCTTGGAGGTTAAAATCCGATGGCAACACTATAGGCTGCAATGTGCTGTAGTTGACCATCGGTGGCGAGACGGGTGCATAGCTCAGGCGTCCCGTCAGGCTGTGGCTATTATTATTGGTGGGTAGGTTCGAGGAGTTGGGCACAGGCAAAGGAGATGGCAGAGTAGGAGCCACATTCATATTGAGTCCAGGACTTCTGGAAAAAGAGCTAAGATTAGTTGTCAAATCTAAAAAAAGACACTTTTTAAATGGGTGATTTTAAAATATAATTTTAGGTGAGTAATAAAATATAATTTGTGGTTTTTCAAACCCTTTAAAATATTTGTTTTAAAAAAGAAACCCAAAACCCAATTGATTTTCCGTTAGTAAAATTTTATAAACTATTTCTAAAACTACTCTTGTTCTTTCTAATTTCTAAAAATGTTGGTGAACCTTTAAAAAAAGAGATGTGCTTTCATTTGTAAAGCCCAGACCTTGACTATTTCTTGGCTGAATCGCCCTTGCTTAGCTTAACTTTCATATTGACCGTCACTAGGGGCATCTTAGAGCTTAGAGGGGGAATGAGAGAGAATGTTATGACATCGAGGCTTTTATGTACAGCAAGGTTTCTATGTTTTAGAAGATCTACAAGTGGATTCCTTACCTTTGCTGAGTTATTGTAAAGACGGACTTGCTTACAATCCGCTTGCCCGTGTGCCAAATGCGTCCTATATACTTGATTCGCTGAATGGCAATGATGGCCAGGGCAACAGTCCTGCAAAAGGGTAAAAGGATATCAAGTTAAGTAATATTTTTTTTATATTTTATTATTCTATTCTAGTTACTCACTTGAACTTCTTTTTAATATTCCGCTGGCTACCAGTCTGTGCTCCTCGCAGATTCTGCAATGCCAGCTGCTCACTGGCCTGGTAACCCTCCAAGGTGAGCTTCAAATACCGCTTCTGGTAGACCAAAGCCTTGCGATGCGACTCTACACGCAGATAGCGACCTATCAGCTGCCGGCAGCGCTCCTCCAGCTCGGTTACATTGGTATTCCCAGAGCCACTCATCAGCTCCTCGCACTTCTTCTGCAGCGCCAGCCTTTCGCCCACCAAAAACTGCACCGTCTCGGCCATTTGCTTGTTCTCCTGCGTATTCTCCACCAGCAGCGTGTTGATCTCCTTCATCTTCTGCAGGAACTGGGCCGGCACAGTGTCATCGGTGGTGCTGTGGGCCAAGCGATCGTTGGCCTGGGCCAAAGCCTCGGCCAGCTTGGCTTCCCTCTGACCCGAGCGACTCACATCAAAGCGGAGTTGGACGATCTTTTGGTCGAGCGAGTCTTTAGCTGCTTCGGCTGCTAGCAGCTTAGAGCGCAGCTCATGGATCTCGGCCTGAAGCTGAACATTCTCCTGATGCTGGCGGGTGCGAGTGGTGGCCCTGCGGGTCTCCGCCTCTTGCAGGGTGACCAGCCTTGCCTCCAGACTCTCAACCTCGCTGGCTTGGAGGGTTAAACGCTCGTTGAAGTGTTCCAGTTCGGCTTCTGCTGACTCCTTGTCCCGGGACAGCTTTTCCATCTCCTGCTTGAGTCGCTCACAGTAAGCCACTCGCTCTTGGAGCTCCGTTTCGTAACGCTGGCGTTCCCGCTCGCTGCTACGCTGGGCATCCGCCGATCTCTCACGCTCTCGTTCGTTCTGAGCCACGAGCATCTTGATCTCACTGCGCAGCCGGTCGCCAAGTTCCGACTCGAAGTCAGCACGCGGGGATTTGCGTGGGGAATCTCCGGGAGATTTGAGCAGCAGAGAACTGTTCCTTCGACTCTCTGCTCTTTGCAGGGAAGTCAGCTGTGTTTGAAGACGCTCGCAACGCTCGCGTTCCTGGTCCAGCTGCTTGTGGAGCTCATCTTCCGCATCGAGAGCGGTTTCCAAACGCTTTCTCATGGCCTCAATGATGATTACATCCTGCTCTTGGATGTCTTGTGAATGCTGCTTCTCCCCAAGCAGCTCCTTGCTCATGGTCTCGCATTGTTCACGCTCCACGGCCAGCTGTGCACGGAGTGCCTCCAGCTGATTCAGCAACTCCCGTTCGCCGGTGAAGTTCTCATCATCAGTGCCATTACCAGTGCCAGGTAGCAGGTGCTCCTCCTCCTCCGTTTGGACCTCCTTCTGCTGCTGTTTCTTGTCCAGATTGTTTTCGTCTTCACTTTCAATGGCCTTGAGTATATTCGAGTCCAACTGGGCGGAGTAGTTTAGCTCTTTTTCCACCTGTTGGGCAATCTCATCCACGGAGTACTGCTTCGAGCTGTTCTCGCTGTTCTTGAGACGCTCTAGATCCCGCTCTAAGGTGAGAACCTGAAGTTCCAGCTCCCCGCAGCGTCGGAGAGCAGCCTGCAACTGATCAGCCTTGACTTTTACCTCCGCATTGAGAGCTTCAAGCTCTCGCTTGCGGGCAGCAGCCGCATCCTCACAGTGGCCATGGGCAACGCTTACGTAGTTGAGCTCCTTGCGGAGATTCTCACGCTCGGCGGCCTCCTGGGCAGCAGCCTCCAGGATCTTGGATTCCAAGGACTCAATGCGAAGTCTGTATTTTTGTTCACTTTCTTGGTGACTTTGTGACTGTCGATTGACTTGCTCCTTTTCCTGCTCTAGTTGCATTTGCAGATCCTGCAAGTTCTTCTCTGATTCACTCTGTTGACGCTGCTTCTCCTGCTCCAAAGTGGACACTTTCTGTCGCAATTGGTGTACTTCTGGTGGGGTCATGGGCCTGGGCATCTCCGGTGTGCGCATCACCATCATGCTGGGTGTCTTGTTGACCTTGGAGTCTTCTGTGAGGTTCGAGAAGTTGATCTGCCGCGGCACCAGGCCAGGTGTAAGGCCATCGCTGCTCTGAGCAGTAACCCCCAAGGCCTGGAAGTAATGGGGATGCTCAAAGGTGTTCACCGGATACGGGGCCATAAAACCACTCAAGTCATCGGTGCGCTTGTGGGTTAAATTAGCCACAGCCTCCTTGGAGGTCTCCTGTAAAGGAAGGAATATCAATAATGAACAATTTTATTTATTGAAAACAAAGAAAACCCACCATTGTCTGATGCAGGAAGCCGCCCGCACCGTCTGTCATGTGTAAAGGAGCATTCAGGCTGCGCATGGCCGCTCGCCGATCCACATCCGGCTCGGGGAACTCGGTAATCGATCCTATATCGCTAAGAGTGCGTGCACTTAGCTTTCCACCCGCTCCTCCTTCTCCTCCTCCTGCCGGCGATGAAGCCGGGCTGACATCCTGTGCTTGAGTAGCCTGCAGCAGCTCCTTCTCCTTTGCATCCAGCTGATCGCGTAGGTGATCAATTTCATCATTTTTGTCCGCCAGCATGGTCTGCATGAGATCCGGCAAGGCCAGGCGATTGATCATCTCCGTGCGTATCTTCTCCTTGAGCTTGCCTATCTCGGCGCCCTTTTGTTGAACCTCTGCCTTCAGCTTGTCCACCAAACTGCGATCTGGCTGGGTGCGCACTGTGACCTCTGCTTCGAGTCGCATGATCTCCTCTTTGCTGCGCTGCAGCTGCTGCCGCATGGTGGCCATTTGTTTGTCCCGTGCAGATAACTGCTCGCTAAGATTCTGGACTTCACCCTGAAGTTCATGGACTTTGGTGGTGAGATCAGAGGTGCCAGCACGATGCAGTTGCTCGGCCCGCTGGCGTTGCTCCTCCAGGCGATTCTGGAGCGTGGATATACGATGGGTCTGCTCATCCATGCGACCCTGCAGCGAGTCCCGCTCATGTTGGAGATCCTAGAAGGGATAGGGGATTGTTTTTAATTGGGAAACATATAATAATTTTGTTTAAATTGCAAGAAAACAATGTTAAATAATTTTTAAACTATTTTATTTGTATTGAAATTCTAAAATAAAAAATTTTAATAAAATCTTCAAGTGGCTCTGCAATAGATCTTCCTTATATATATTTTATTTTGTGGGGGTGCAAGTCCAATGACCGACCGCTTGACCGTTGGCTTCATCTGCATTTAACCCTTTCCAACTTCAATTAAAGTGGAAGTATTCCATATCTCTCCATTGCACAGTAGGTTGTGTGTGTGGGTAATATTTTTAAATTGTTTAAATTGAGCCATCTTTGCGGGTAAATATGAAAAATAACAGTGAGTAATGCTGTGAACGTTATGACGTTCTTATCTCAATTTAATGAATTATTAAATGGAATTATTTAAAGAATTTTAATTTTAAGAAAATGTTTAGTTGTATTTATTTTAATTATTTAATTAATATATTTTGAATTTATAATATATTATTGATTTTTAATTATTAGAATATGAAATTGAATTCATTAACTAATATATTATTCATTTTAAGCCTTAAAATTTTAATTTAAAATGTATTCCCCACTGTTCCTCAGTATCTCTTTGCATTTCTTTGCTTTTCGCCTCTGGTGTTTACTCGTTTTTGATCCATTTAAGTATATATTTATGCGGGCATATGAACGCAGCTTCCCCCAATGCAACCGCTCCAGGCCCCACCTCCAACGAGTATCCAGCATCCCGAACGTAGCAAATCACTCTCCCCGTTCTCCAAACAACGCAGCGGGATGCGTGCCATAACATAATGGAATTTATTGAGGCATTACAGCATCATATTAGTGTTTCAATTGTGGGGAGAATGCACATTGTAAACAAAGCTGCACTTCTACGCATTCTATTTCAAGGAGTGACAAAAGGTCCAGGAGCTTACTCTGAGGATGACGGAAATGTGGCAGGTGCCAACGAAGGCGCCAAATGATTTGTTTTTATTATCATTCGATGTTTTCAAGTGGAAGGAAAATAGTGCCTAGGCTATTTTTGAAGTGGAACGAACCGGGCAAAATGGGAGAAAGGGAACAGGAACAGCCAACGATTTATTTATGACATCGAGTGTGCCAAATTCCCGCAAAAATCACAAATATCTCAGCCACAACAAGCCCCACAATGACCACGGTGAATGCATGGACAAAACATTATGGCAACGGGCGACCACAACAAATTCAATTATATTATTTTATATTTATATTATGGTTGCCTTGAAAAAAACACTGTATTCATCAAAACAAATAAACACTAGCTGCCACAGGCACATCAATTGTCACACAGAGAGCTCAGTTTTTGGGGGAACCTTGATCTGATATTAAGAATATTCACTTGAAAAACTCACTCGCAAGGGAATCTTTGGATACTGAAACATTTCCGGAACCTGTGCCACTTGCAGTCTTTATTTTAAGCAGTCTTTTATATTTTTTCTATATAGATTTATCTCTTGGACAGCCATATATATCTTTATTCAGTTGCGATAAAAAATTATATATAAGATAGCAAACATTTCCTCCGCTTCTGCCGTTCACAGTGCCATTCGGAAGGCAACTGAGTGATGTTTTTGATCGAGAAAGCCAAGAGAATTTGTGCAAGGGCAAGGGGAGAGCAATCAAGAGGAAAAAGCAGAGCGGAGAAGCATCTAAATATAAGAAAAGAGCATTCGTTGAAATTTAAAAACAGCGCTTGAGTAGAGACACAAACCCAACCGAATCTTTCTCGAAAACTTGAACTAAAAATTGTGTTAGATCTTAAGCTGTGACACAACCCACTCATTCGAATTATACAATGTATAATTTAATGTTTTTAAATTAAAGGAACCTAATAAAAAAAATTTAATAATTATAAATTTTGAATATTATTAATAAACAAAACAAAAAATTCATTTGAGTAACAAAAATATGAAAATGATATTATATAAAATTAATATTAAAAAAAAATAAACATTTTAAATTAGAATTAAATTTATAAAACTTAATATCAACATGAATATATTTAATAAAATATCTGAAAACATTCAAGAATTTAATTTAAATTCACCTCAGAATCTAAGACTCAAACCCTTCCCCATCGAATTCGAACTCGACTTAGCTTAAGGGGGGGGTAAGGTTAATTCGGTGCAAAAAAGGCAACTTTTCAAAAAATTATTGTGGCGAAACGGCTAAAGTTAGCTTAATGAATTAAATACCATATAATAACACAACATTTGAATAATTTTTGATAAATTTTGTATTGAAAAATATTTAGAGGTAGAGAAGTTATAGGGAATCTCCCGAGTCGCCTCCAAAAAAAGTTGTTTTGCGGTGTACAACCTAACAGTTCACAGGATCATCCGATCTAAAAAAATTATACCTCATTCGTTAAAGGATAAGTGTCCCGAGGTATTCACGAAGCGTTTTTTTTTTAGATTTTTTGTGATTTTTTAGGAAATTTGAAAGTCAAAAACCCGATTTTTGACTAAAAAAAAAACGTTATTTCTTAATTTAAAAATATATAAAAATTAAAAATTAAAAAAAGGCCGACGTGAATACCTGAGGAATTAGTTAAAGAATGTGTGTGCCAAATTTCAAATCGATCGGTCCAGTAGTTTTTCTGTAATCGTGTACACCGATTTGAAAAATTGAATTTTTCAGGAGAGCGCTTTAAACTTTGTGATTCCCATGCATTGAACACCAACCGACCTTCGTTCAACTCCGCATGACTTCGTCAATTTCACTCTGATCAATGTAAAACTTGGACACAATATTCTTAAGATGTTAAACTTTAAAAATAAAAAATAAAAAAAAATTTACAAAAAAAAAATTAAATACCTTACCCCCCCCCCTTAAACACAAACCCCCAAACATTTACTCACCATAAAGCCGGTACGCATTTGCTGCGCCTGCATTTCCAGATCGCGTATCCGCTTGATAGCCGCTTCCTCCACCCGGGTGTGCTTGTCCAGCTTCTCGGTGACCCGTTGCACATTCTCAATAGTTAGCGATGTATGGGTTGGCGAGCCCTCGGCCGTGCGATTCTTGCTGCCATGAACAGAGACATCTTCGGTGACACTCAAGCTCGTTGAATTGGAGGCCGTGTTGGAGTTGTGCAGTGACTCCAGGACCTTGGTCTTCTGCTCCAGGGTGGTCTCAATGTCACGCAGCTTTTCCGCCACTTGTTTGAGAACCTGGCCCTGCTCAGCAGTGGGTCTTCCCAGTTGCAGCTTCTCCTCCAGCAATCTGATGCGTGATTGATAGCCCTCTCCAATGTCCGTTTTCAGACTATGCACCTCCTGCTGCAGGGCATCGGTTTCCTTGATCTGCAAATTGACATAGTCCTCCAATTGCTTGGTCTTCTCGGTCAGGACCTGTTCGTTGATGGCCTTGGTCTGGACTTGGGTCTCCAGTTCCGAGATGATTTCCCGCAGGACAAAAATCTTGTCAATCGAAGCTTTTAGTTCAACTTCAAACTTGTCCCGTTTGGCATTCGATTCGCTGAGCTGGTGGCTCACCTCACGCAACTGACCCTCCAGCTGGGCGTACTGAATGGGAATAATAATAATAAATTAAATATTACATAAAAAATTAAATAAAATATTCAATGCTTGGTAAATGAAGTTGAATTGTGGTGACTGTGCGGGTCCGAGATCATGTCCAGGATTAGTTACCAACTTACATGCTTATTTTTTGCTAACTTCAATTATTTTTGTGTGTGTTGTGCAGGCGCAGTGGGGGAAAAAGGGGGAAAGGGTGCACAGGTTTTTAAGTTGTAGTTGATTTTTAGTTGTAGTTTAGTTGCAGTTTTATTTATGGGGTGCATGCAAAAAGAGTTACAAATATATTGTTTAGATCCAATTAGTATTATTAATACAAGAAACATTTAAGGCTTTCATTTAAAGAGGGCCAAAATACCAAACTTAAATAATAATTATAATTTATAAATGCAAAATAAGGTTGTAATAAATATAAATATACATAACTTGATCTAAATATTTGGTTTTATTAAGAAGAAACTATAGTTCCATAAGTAAAATGTGACTTTAATTTGAATAATAAGATGATAATTAGAAAAGCTTCTAAAAAAAAATATTTTTTTTAAGAATTTATAATTTTTAAAATAGAGTTAAAATCTATAAAATAGTTTTTATCAATGATTTATTTTTTAGAGCAATAAATTAGATTTTAGATCAATAAATTATGGATAAAAACAATTTTATTATTTACAAAATGTATAATTTTTAAATAGATTTTAAAACTATAAAATAGTTTTCACCAAAAATTAATTTTTTAGAATTCAGTTTTCGTTGTTTAATTATTTTTTAGAAAAAATACGTTCAAATCTTGTAGCTCCAAAAATGCCGTTTAATTTTTAAAATTTAAATAAAGCCTCATAACGCACAAAACATTTTGTAAGAATAAAAATCCCCATAAAGCACATTAAATATTTTGTAATAATCTAAACCAGAACAAATTAATTATTACATTATCATTTCCCACTGGTAAATTATCCAAAAACTTTTATAACACTTCCTCATAGATCATTTTCGTAACAAAGTGCCTGCATATATCCGAATGACATTGAAAAAGTCTCTCCAATCCCGCTGAGATCTTAAACTTGAGGTAGCTTTGCTAAATGGAATCCGAATGAAAGGCTACGACTGGCACAGACACTTAAGTGTATGTATGTATACTTCTCCGGGTCTATAAATATGTCGGCACGTTCTTACAAAAGATCTGGCATATACATACATATATACAAAAAGATACAGATACAAATACAGATATTGAATGCTGCCCTTGACTTCCCCCCTATGGGGATTTATAGTGGAAATTATGCCCAACAGGTGCCTGCCTGAGGCTCGTGCGATTTTGTAAGCATTTTCAATGCTTTCCCAGCGATTTTGTGTTTATATTAAAATAGAGGTGCATAATTGTGTCAGTTAATAAAAAAGAGGAAACATTCAGAGGAAACTTAAATAAGTTAAAACTAAACTTATAACCAAAACTAAAGCTATTATAATAATACCAAAAACAAATAGGAAAAAGTATACAAAAATATAGAAAAAAAGAAAACAGAGATATAGAAAATCAGAGAGAAAAAGACTTGGTAAACCAAAAGGCAAAACGCAAAAAACAAAAGTCAAACCAAGCCCGAAAATCAAGACCAAGCAATCCCAGCGATCGTACGTATGTAGATGTGAGATAATCGTGGTCAAGGACTCACCTCCTCGGAGGCATTGGCATAGGAGCTATGCTCCTTCTCCTTGTCACGCAATTGGGCCTTTAGCCTTTCAATTTCGCGCTGGAACTCGTCGCGTTCCTGTTCGCGTTCAGCGGCCTGATCCTCCAGGAAACGCCTGGTGTCCTTCAGCTGCTTGTCAGCGGTATCGATCTGTGTTTTGGTTGTGGGGTTAGGAGCGGGTATTGACTTAACATAAAGACCTGACTTACAAACTAAACGAATTTATTTCGGCTTTTGATCAAGTTTACGTACGGATCATGCGTTTAGCACTTGGTGGGAGGAAGGGGATAACTTCTGTGGGGGACAGGGGCAGAGGGAATATTCATCTTAAACTCACCTGAGACTGCAGATCCTCGCGATCCTTTTTGCCGCACTCCACCACTTTGTCGCCCTCGCGGCAAAAGTCTTCAATCATTTGTAAGAGTATGACAGTGGAGTTTCCTTGATCTCTGATCAAAGGTTGTGTGTCCTTAACCGGCGAGGATGAGGAGAGCAGGTGACGCGCCCTCTCCTGCAGGGCCACAAAACTGGCGGACGACTGATCCAATCCCTCCTGCTCCTGCAGACTTTTCAGTCCAGGTCCCCCCAGGCCATAACCCTCGTTGTAGTCTGTATGATTCAAGGAGTTTAGCTGGGAAAGCTGATCCCTCAAAGCCTGCAACTCCTGGCCCAGCTCGGCATTGCGATCAATGGTGTGACTCAGTTGCTGCTGCAGCTTTTGGCGATCAGTCTCCGATTTAATCAGCCTGTTCTTGAGCTCCACCAGCTGGAAAGATAACTGCGAGGCATTGCCCTCCTGCTCATAAAGATCTGGAGGCAAAGAGGTGTGGGTTTTTCCTGCCTCCGGACTGCTGCTCTTGCGCTGATTGGCCACGCCCATTTGCTGGTCATTCAAGGAGTTGGTGCGCAGAAATTTAGACAGCACAGCTGCTGTGGTCTTAAGGCCATCTTCCGCCTCGCAGCAGAGTTCGTGCTCTTGCTTCTCCGGCTCATCTAGAGCTTCCTCTGAGGCCTCATCCTGACCTCGTGGCCTGTGCAAATCCTCCGACAAGTGGAGCAAGTAAGAAGCCTCCAACTTCAGGCGCTCCAAGCAATCATTCAAATCAAAATCCTCGCTAGCCTCCTCATTGCTCTTGCTGTCTATAAACTGCACCAGACTGGGATCCTCCACCACCTCCAGCAGACTGTGAACATCCGGCACACGGAGCAACTGCCTGGTGTTATTCAGGGAACCACTGAGCGTGACCTCCAGCTCATCGGCGGCATCCTGGCTGCGGCTGTGAGGCAGCAAGAGACGTTGCACTTCCTCCGAGAGCGTAGAGTTCAGATCCTCCTCACAGTTGGCCACACACTTGGCCAACCGGCTGAGTACGCTGCGGAAGCTCTTTGAGAGCTCCTTGAGGCCATCCCGTTCGCAGATCACCTGCTCCAGGTCACGGGCTGCATCGAAGGTGGAATGGCGCTTGTTCTTACGATTCAACTGCTTTTCGAATTCTAGTTTCAGGCGCGACATCTTTGAAATAATTTTAATAAATTTTCTGTTAATTTTCTACTCTTAAATATATTTTTAAAAATGTTCAAACTCACCTCGTCGGCATGTTTAATATTCAGCTGAGTGATCTCCAGTTGACTTTTGGCCGTAAACTTCTCGCGCAGCAAGATCAGCTCCTTGGGCCAATGCTGATCGTCCACGGTATTCTCCGACAACAAATTCTGAAAAAAATTAAATGCAAATTGTTTACAAAGTTTAATGTTTTGTTTACGGAAAATGTGTGGCAACATTCGGTTGCATATTGCAGGCGAAAGGCCTGGAACTCGGAGACAGATCAGAGCTTTCAATGGGAAACTTTTCCCGCCTTTCACCAGAGCATAAATATTTATGGTTTCAAGTGAAAATATTTACATGATATATATGGGAAATGATGTGTGTGTGTTGTTCTTTTTTCTTTATTTTTGATCTCTATAAGGGATCATCCAAAGACGGAAACTCCGAGCCAGATACATAAATCTTAATAAAGATTCTCCCCCAACTTGAATGGGGAGAAAAAGAGGAGAGGGAGAGAGAAAGGCAGGAGTGGGTGAAGTTGAGGTTTATTTTTGGCTGGTCTGGCACCCTCTTGCTCACTCTTGAGAAGCAACCATAAAAACCACATTAAATACAATTAAATACAGTTGATGAATAATGATTTGAAAGTTAAATAAAATGAATTATCATGGGCAAGTTGTGTTATCTCTAAAGTTCTTCCTCATTAAATCTGAGAGAAAGAGAGAGCTTCTCTCTATATGTCTCTCTCAAAAGGGGTCGTGATCCCGGCAGATAACAAGTTTTCTTTGTTTTCAATATTTTCCAATATTTACTTGAGGCTTTTGCGTAGGCAGACAGTCCGTTATAGATTAATAAAATTAAAATAAATTTATAAAAATATTTTAAGATCAAAATTTCATCTTTATAAGATTTTTCTATAGCTTTAAAACCCTGAAACGCACTGTTCTACGCCCTCTGTTTCTCCCTTTGTTTATTTGGGTAAATGACACGAATTTTTCCCGTATTTTTCCCCAGTGAAACTTTTCCCGCGAGTCAAATCTGAATTTTATTTTCGTCACTTGCAATTTTCTACATTTCATGTGCAGCAAACATGTAGTACTTGATATATATATATGGGAATACGTGTATATTTCGTGCAATGCTACAATATATTTTTAGATTTTTGCATAACAAGACGCAGCGGCAATAAATCTCCAAACGAACTGTGAAATCTTCTCGCTAATCCAAAATAGAAAGCACAGTTTGTGTTTTCTTTTTTTTAGTTTCCAGAACTCTTTTTTCTTCTATTTGTTCATGTTGAGCAGCAAGGCTAGGATGCTATAGGCCTGATTCATGGTCTGAAATTAAGATATGTTAAAGAAAGGATCTCAAATTTCAAACTTTTTCCCCAATAACCTTGGTAAACAATGGCAAGCCGACATGAAAAAAGCCACCAGCTCTCAAGGACAAAGGACGATTTAAGTACACCATAAACATGAGAATCAGGCGACGCATTCGAGGATTCATATCTGGCCAATCGGAATGGTAAAGACAACTTGTCAAGGAATTGGCAGAGTCAATAACAGCATTGCCATAGATGCTGGGCAACAGGATTTGCGTGATCATGGACAATAGATACTGAAGCATGGCGGCAAATTTGTTTATATCCTGCATCACGGGACTCTACAAGGATTATTAGATATATATATAAAGAAATTTTTGTAAAAAAGAGCTGCCCAAACAGTGCCTCAGAGGGACTCGTCAAGTTTGACAGACTGAATTCCCTTAAGAAATCTGTGTAGACAGCCCAGCTTTCTTTCTTCTAAAAAACTCACCGTCTGTATGGTATATATGGTAAAGCATATGGTCAAGGAGCTGACCAAGATCTGGGTAAAAGTGCTCTTCGAAATGAAGGTCTCAATGTCCAAGGCCTGTCGCTTGAGGCTCTGATGTATATGCACCAGCTCTAGGAATTTCTCCTCCAGCTTATCATTGTCCTTACCATTTGCCCTTAACTCACTCAATCTCTGGCCCAGCATTCTCAAACAGAGGGACAAATGAAGCATCATGTACCAATTCACACCATCCAAGAAGATGTTACTTAAACAAACAATGGGAATCGTTATAAGCTGATAAATAAATGGATACCAGAAGTATGCTGTTTTTTGCCAATCAAAAGGTGTCCACATCCAGAATGGCAATCGATTGGGAATATCAAACAGAGGGTGGATCACAATGAAGGGTATCACACCCGCACTGCACATTAAGTAGAAAATGAAGACCCGAGTGTAGCGACGATGCTGAAACTGCCACATGTCCACTTCCCTTTGACTCCGCAACTCAAACTGATCGGAGGTACTCCATTCGGTTAGGATCCTCTGGGCCACTTGGGCATATCTCCAGTTATTCACCATTTTAGCTGCCAAAGCTGTGGTGCTCAGGCCAATCAGTAGGACATCGGCAAGATGCTCAATGTCCTTGCTCATCATGGCCTCCACCCACAGGAGAACCATGAATAATATGGAAAAGGGAGCGTGCATTAGATAAGTCCTCCAGTTGTTCCAATCCTGCCTGGGTAAGGGTCCATCTCTTGGCCAGAGACGACAGAAGCTCAAGAATCCTGTCAAGAAGCGCACTGGTCGAATCCGGTCGTAATCCATGGCACAGGTTTTGAACACTTATTAAACTGATTTGAGGCTAGGAAAATCCTTATAAAGGCTTGCCCTAATTGATTGGCTTGATGACTTAATTTTAGGGGCGTTCCTGGTCGTTGGCGTTTTTCAATTAAAATTCACTTAGTGAGAACAGTTGGTGAACTTTACAAGGAGGTTTTCGAAGGCTAATAAGCCAAGGGAATATACTAGATTTACCTTTAGCTCTTTTCTTTTAATTGTTTGCTAAATGTATGTATATTTATATGATAGTTGATTCCATAAGAATTAAGAAAATACATATTCCCCTTATTGAATATCAAAATTCACTTAGTGAGAACAGTTGGTGAACTTTACAAAGAGGTTTTTGAAGGTTAATAAGCCTTGGGACTACAAGGTATATTATAGATTTCCCTGTAGTTCTGCTGTATAAATTATTTGCAACATATCTGTTGATAATTAATCCCATAAGAATTCAGATAAAATATTTTTCTTTTGCAGACTTCTCTTAATAATAATGTAAAACTCTTATTACTTAAACTAAGAACCACTTTCTCTGACTGAGTGCATCTTTATGGACCATCCCGGGACTTTGACTAAATATAAACCCAAAAATAAAGATTCGTTCGAAAATTTTGCGCCTTTAAACAAAAATAAACTCCTGCCCTGGAAATGGGAATTCTTTGGTTTTTAATTTCTGTTTTTTCGGGATGGAGAAAGGCCAATGACTTTTCCAGTTTGATGGGGAAGAGAAGACGTCTGTCTTTGACAAAGTGCAGGAAGTTTGTTTATTTAGAGTCCGGTTGTTTTTTTGGGTGACTTTAGATTGATGGACGAAAGACACTCAAGTAATTGAGTTTGTTTAGTCTTTTTTCCTTTTGCTTACTTTTAAAGTTCCTTTTTTAGATCCGTAAATTCCTTTAATTTGCAGAAGAACCATTAAAAAAAATCCGTTAGGTTTCAAATCACACCATCACTCGCACAAATTTCCAATTAATGGACACAATAAACACAACTTAATTTAAATATTTGTTTGTTTGTATGATTTTTGGCAATGATTTGCCTATTTTTCTTTCTTTCCACGAAAAAACCACTTGAAGATCTTGAAGATCTCTAGAAGAATTCTCTTCTGCGCTCTCAGAAAAAGTCTCTGAATTTTTGAATGAATGAATTATCCGTTATATACGCTTCACGTACGCACGCATTGAAGTAACGGAAAAGACTGATCGGTCCAACTGAGGCGGGCAGGCAAATATATATAGAAGATCGGAGAGAACGCTTTGCTAAGGGAGAATCTGAGAGAGCGCTGAGAGTGAGGGCTTCCTCTCTTTCTTTGCCTGCCTGTGTGTGCGTGTTGAAATTAATTCAAATTTATGAGCGTTAATTTTCAAAAGTTTTTTGGTGGGCAGAAGAACTGCATATGCTGCATGTAGTTTCTATATATTTGGGGGTGTTTTCCCCCCCTTTATTAAACCCAACTTAAGCCGGTCTACACACTTCCGACTTTGTCTCTATTAGAGCTCCATTTCACGACTTTATTAGAAAAGTGTGAAATAAATGAAATATAATGCTGTGACAACAGGACAAGAGCACATGTTTTTCGTTCAATTAAAGTTTTTGGCGCGCTGGTTTTATGGTATTTCTATATGTATGCTTAGACATATATCTTTGTTTTGTCAAATCTTCGGCAGAATGTCTGCGAAATTTGCTGAACGTTCGCCAAGATAGCCAACATATGATACATATAAAGGAGACTATTTTTTGACATCATAAGTGGGACGGGAAATGTCTTTGGGGGAGCAACAACAACAGAGACGGGTGTTTATATCAAAATGATTCGGGTATTTTGTATTTGGAATAACAAAAATTACAGTGGATTAATTTTTAAGGGAAATTATTAAAGGAAAATAAAGAGTTCACCATTTTGAGAACCTCTTTCCCAGATTTTTTTTGTAACAATTATTAAGAAAAATATCTAAGGTATTTAACATATATATTTATTTAACTAAACTTTGATTCTACATTTTATTAATATTTATTTATATTTTATTTTTAAAGTCTTTGTGCAATTTAGTGGCAGATTCTAGCATATTTCATAAATATTAATAAAATTTTAAAAAGTACAATTTAATTTTGAAAAACTCTTTCCTCTTGTTTTTAGTAATTCCAAACACCTTTCCCTTTCCTATAAATATATTATTTTCCTATCTAAAGAATACTTCTAACCAATCTCCACTGTATAGACAATGGTACAAATATCCAGTCGTCTTTGACCTTCGTTGGATTTATTTTGGTGTTCAACAATAAGAACAACAAATACTTGCCTTTGTGTCAAGCAAAATCGAAAGGGAGGTGCAGGGTCTTTATCTATTTTTCACGACGACACGTGGCCACCATATTTGGTGAGCCAGAAAGTGGGGATTGCTGGAAAGGATTGGGGCGCCGTCCGTCAACGCCTTGAGAGGGGATCATTGACTGCCTTCGTCAGGTATAAATAGATGGATTGCCCAGGTATCAAAGTGCACACAGATTTAATGCTACATAAATTCAAAGTGAGTTGAAAGTTCTTTTGGCACACGTTCGTCGTTGCCAGCATGATTTTCATGTTGCTGCTCTTATTTTTATACCCTTGCAGGGTATTATAATTTCAGTCAGAAGTTTGCAACGCAGTGAAGGAGACGTTTCCGACCCTATAAAGTATATATATTATTGATCAGCATCACCAGCCGAGTCGATCTAGCCATGTCCGTCTGTCCGTCCGTCTGTCCGTCTGTCCGTCCGTCTGTCCGTCTGTCCGTCTGTCCGTCTGTCCGTCTGTCCGTTTCTACGCAAACTAGTCCCTCAGTTTTAAAGCTATCTGAATGAAACTTTACATATAGTCTTCTATATACTCTCACTGCTATATATGTCGGAACGGGCCGGATCGGACGACTATATCATATAGCTGTCATACAAATGTTCGATAAATTTTTAGAAAAAAAATTATAACTTGGATGTTTTTTAACATTTTTGCACAATTTTTAAGACATGGCCATTATACACACCTGATCATATTAATAGGTACATACACAAATTATTTAATTATAGATGGTTTTTTCGTACTTTAAGTGTTGACATCTTTAAAATTTTTGGTTATTTGTTATGGTCAATATCTGCCCACACTGTGACAAAGAGTTGAACGAGGGGAATCCCCGAATATCAAAGCTTTTCTATAAATTGTGAGTCAACCACACATTTCGCCTGATCATAATAATAGGTACAGTCTCCGTTTCTCATAAATAACAAGTGAATAATTTTGTAATCAGTGATTTTTTGGCAACTTAAGGTAAATTTCGTATAGCTACTATCAATTAAGAGAATTAAATATTTATTTTTTTTAGAAAAAATGGGTCGAAATTCTTATTGTACTAAAGAAGAAGCTCGATTGGTTCTTAGTCTGAGAAAAGATGGCAAATCTTTACGAGCTATTGCCAAATTAATGAAAAGGTCCCAAAATTTTGTTAAAAATGCATTAGAAAGGAAACCAAGACAGGAATCCCGTGGAAGGCCAAAAAAAACAACGGAAACGCTTGACCACTACATAGTATCTTTAAGCAAAAAGGACCCATTTAAGTCATCGAAGGCTATTGCAGCAGATATTGGGAATTCAGTTAGTGCTCCAACTATCCGAAGACGACTACAAGATGCCAACCTACCAGGAAGAATTGCCAGAAAGGTTCCACTTATGCGCAAAAAAAATATCACCATGAGGCAAACTTTTGCAAGGGACCACAAAGACTGGGTAGGATGCATCGGGGAGAAAAAGTGGAGAAACATTTTATGGAGCGATGAAACCAAGATAAATTTATTTGGGAATGATTGTGAAAGGAATGTTCGACGCCCTAATGGAAAGGAATTTCATCCACGGTTTACAAAGAAAACAGTCAAACATGGAGGTGGTAATATAATGGTATGGGGTTGCTTCTTCTGGTATGGCGTAGGTCCAATTTATCAGACTACGAACAGAATGACTGCTGAAGAATACAAATCCATATTGGAAACAGTTATGGTACCATATCCTGAAGAAAATATGTCATTACGTTGGGTATTTCAGCAAGACAATGATCCTAAGCATACATCAAGGCTTTTATCTAAATTCTTTGAGGACCGAAAAGTTGACATTCTGAAGTGGCCAAGCCAATCCCCCGACCTAAACCCCATAGAAAACTTGTGGGGAGACTTAAAAAAGAAATTGGCAAAGTATTCATTATCAAATAAAGCACAATTATGGGATGGTGTCCAAAAATTGTGGTATGAAACACCAGTAGAAACCTGCCAGGCTCTTATTAAAAGTATGCCAAAAAGAATAGCAGTAGTGACCAAAAATAGAGGTGGATACACTGGATACTAAGTTAGTAAATACAAATTTAGAAAAAAAAAAAACGCAAAATATATATTTAAATTTATTTTTCTCATCAACACTTGAAGTGTACCTATTATTTTGATCAGACTGAAAACGTATCTAAGACACAAAATGATCTCCTTTTTGTTATATTATTAACCTATGTTACAATAAAGTTTATTTGATTAAACACAAATAGTTTAAGAACCAATGAGACCAAATTTTAAGTTTAAAATAATGAATAAAACTATTTTCTGTAACCTTAAAGTCTGAGTTGATGTATGTACCTATTATTATGATCAGGTGTGTATATTACTTTTGAATTTTGGTAAAAATTTTATGAAAATCGGACCACTATATCTTATAGCTGCCATAGGAACGATAGGGAAGGTAATAGAAAAAATTATAACTTCGTTCTTTTTCAACGTATTTTCATCTACTTTGAGACATGAGCTTCTGGTATTATTTCAAAATTTTGGTATAAATTTAATGAAAATCGGACGACTATATCTTATAGCTGCCATAGGAATGATAGGGAAAGCGATAGAAAAAATTATAACTTCGTTGTTTTTCAACGTATTTTCATCTACTTTGAGACATGAGCTTTTAGTATTATTTCAGAATTTTGATAACAATATTATGAAAATCGGAGAACTATATAATATAGCTGCCATATAAGTGATCCGTAGATGTAGAGAAAATGTAAAGCTGGGAATGTATAACTGTAACTGTCAAACTGTAAACATATTAAGTATAGGTAAAATGTTATGAAACTCCGTTTAGTGTCTGTTTTCGGCATTATAATTTATAATATAAATATGAAAACCAATCTGCAAGGGTATACAAACTTCGGCGTGCCGAAGTTAGCTTCCTTTCTTGTTTGCCTTGTTTTTTTTTATTTTTCGGTTTCTTTTGCTTTCATTTGAGTTTTTTGGCTGCTTGACAATTTTTGCACGTTTTTTTCGTGCAAGTAGCGTGCGCCGATTTTAAAAATAAATTATGCTAAAGGGAAAGGGATTTTACGCTAAGGAAGATGTTTTAAGATTAGACCCTAAAATCAAGGGAGTGAATCACACAAACTACGTTTGGGTGAAAAATAAATAATTTACTATATAAAATATATAAACATCGGCTTACCGAAGTTAGCTTGATATTTTGTTATTTCTAATTTTAAAATTTTTAATTAATTTTGTTATTCAATTATTTATCTTTTTGTTAAAAATTAATAAACAAAAAACGAGCTGTGAGTTCAAACAAACTCATGCAATTTTGTATTAAATATAATAAATGACATTTAATAATATTAAATATTATATTTAAGCTTTGCCTGTGCCGACGCTCACCTGAATCTGTTGCTCCAACTCGTTGGCTATGTCCTGACGGGCCAAAGCAAGTTGCTCCTGCAACCTCCTCTCATACTCCTCAATTATACGCTGGATCACCTGGGATTCGTTGTTCAAATTCAGCTCATCCTCATCGATGATGATCAGCGAGGTATTCGCGGGCCCCTCTCCGGCGCCACAGGTACGCGCGGGTGATTCGCTTGCAGGCTGTGTTAGTTATTTTTGGGTGTCGGAGTGTTGCAGGTAGTTACAATTGTTATTAGTCCGTTTTATTGGGTTATTAAGATCGTAGAAGAGAAACAAGAATAAACATGCAGCAGTTAGCTGAGTTAGTAGAGACAACAAGCTTGGATTGAGGAGTAGAAATTGCCAGGATATAAGAATGTGTACCTTGTAGTCATCGTCTCCCTGGCGACGCTCATAGAACTTGACACGGTCGCTTAGCTTGCGCACCTGATCCTCATGCGACCGCCTTAGCTCCTTGATATGGGCTTGGTAGAAGTTCTTCAGATCGGTTATATCCTGAGAAAGCTGGAAAAGGAAGGGAATCATAATATTTTAGCAATGCATATGTAATGACTGATTAAACTCACATCTTTGGCCGCTGCTGGGTTATCTCCTCCCAGGGAGTCCAGGCCACAAGGTGTCATCTGCCTGTGACTCGGACTGAGCAGGAGCTCGGCTCGCTTTCGTTTGCGTGGCGATGGCTCTTTGGAGGAAGCTGCAGGCGCCGCCGCAACAACCACCTCATCCTCCACCAGCTGATCCATTTCGGAGCACTCCGAAGAGCTATCGCTAGCCAGATGCTGGGACTTGTGCGAGAAGACATCGTCCGAGAACTGTTTCTCCAAATCAGCACACTTGTTCTCAAAGTACTTGCGCAGCTCCTCCATCTGCTTGGCATGGGCTGCCTGCTGAACCTGTTCGGCGGTTTGCTTCTCGCTCTCCCACTGATCCCGTGCAATCTTTAGCTCCTGAACGCCCTGATCCCGACACGAGGCCAGCTGCTGGCCCAAATAGTCATCGAATTTGCGCTGAACCATAAGGAATATTCTCTGTTCCGTGGGCAAAAGGTAAGTGTGAAATTGCTCGATTTGCTTGCTAAAGGCCGGTGTCCATTCCGGCTGCAGTTCATCATTGATGTTGGCTGGGAACTGAGGCAACTGTCTCTCTCTAGAGCTACGCGATACACGCTCCTCGTTATCGGTGAGAAAATGCCGATCCAAGTCGTCGTCACTTTCACTGATCAGATCCATGGAGATCTCTGACAGACGCTGGTTAGGATTCTCCTGATCCTGATCGGGCCAACCAACGCTGGAACGTTTCATTGACTCGATGGCATCTTGAAGCTGACGGCGTAAGTTCTGTACTTCTCCGCCCAGGCGATCTGAATCCATTTGAAGTTTCTCGCGCACAGTCAGGGATTGCTGCAGGGAATCCGTGAGCTTGGCTATCATTTCATCCCGCCGGGACATCTCCACATAGATGTCAAGGGTCTGTGGGGATAAAAAATAAAATTTTAAATGTTTATTTAAAGTTTATTTAAAGTTTTAGTTACCGGTCCACCCAGCTCATCCTGGAGAGTGCGATACTCTGTGGAGTTGGTCATCATGGAGCTGGAATCCCTGGCTGAAGCTGGGCCCGCACTGGATTCCCTTCTGGCCGCCTCCAGTTGCAGATTCAAGGAGGCCAAACAATTGTCTTTGGTCTCCAATTGAGTGTGCAACTCCTGGACTTTGGCCTCTAATTGTTGCATTATACTGGAGCTGCTTTCTACGGCTCCGGGTTTATGTACTCCTGCCTGCAGGAGCAGTGTTCGTGACTCATCCAGGGACAGAGAAGGTGGTTCCTGTTCTTCTTCAATAGTGGTGCTCATGGACAGCTGTCGTTCGCTTTCCTCAGTGATATCCTCCAGAACATCCTTGGAGAATTCCGTTAGAGGCACACGCTCCATTTGCTTAAGTTCCAGGCTAGTGCTAGTGCTAGTTACTTGTGCCTGCTCTGCTTCCGTGGGCGAAAGCTTGGGTGCATTGTCTGTGATTATCTGCTGATTCATGGCCATCAAACGCAGCTTCATTAGCTGCAGAGAACTCTCTTCATCGTCCTCATCATCATCTTCGTCCTCTTCTACTTCCAAAAGGGTTAGTTCCAACGGCTCCATTAACTCGGGCTTTAAACGCAGGGTGGTCAGAGCCCTAGCCACTTTGTTCTCCACCACTTTTGGCTCCTGGAGCGGTGGCAATATTAAAGTTTCCACTGTGGATGTGAGTCTTGCCGGTTGCTGCTCCTGTTCCTGCTGTTCCTGTTCTTCTTCATCCAAGTCCGTGATTAACTCCACTTTTTGTGAGTTTGTATTGGCGGTTTCCTCCGCTTCATAAGTGACCTCAATGGATTCATTGGTGGCCAAAATTTCCTCCATTGAATGATCCTGCTCTTCGGTCATTTGGCTTTCATCTACATGAGTTTCCTGCGGGGCATCATCACTCTCCTGGGTCTTGTCTTCCGCTTCATGTGGCGGCTCTTCAGCCAACTCAGAAACATCATCCGTGGTGCTTTGGTTACTTAAACTCTGATCCACAGAGTCTTCTTCTTCGTGCAGGGAATGCACTGGTTTCCTCTGCTCCAAAGGCAAACTAATGTCAAAGTCATCGTCATTGGAGGAGAGAGTAACCTCCACTTTGGAAGCGGGAGCAGGTAGATCAGATTCCTCTTCGCTGTCATCCACCAAAAAGTGCTGGGCCAAATTGCCACCAGACAGCTCGGCATCATCAATCCGAAACTCATCTGCATCTTCATCCTCATCATCCTCATTAACTTCTTCCTCCTCCAGATTGCTATCCAAGCTTTTGGCACTCGATGGCTGCTCTTTAGGCCGAGCAAAAGCAGCTGCCTCCGACAGGGATTCGAGTGGCGAATTCAGTTGCTCCTCCACCTCACTGATCTCTATGGCCTCCTCGATATCCTCCTCAATGCTACTACTAGTTGTTGTAGTTGTAGTCGTCGTGGTGTTTGCAGCCACCACATCCACACTGCTGGTAGTTGTGGTCGTTGTTGCTGTCGTCTGCTGATCAGCCATGTCAATGGTCATGGAACTGGTGGGTTGTTCTATGCTAAACGATGACACTGCCGACTGGTCCTCCTCCTCGGTGAGACTGAGATTGTTCTGCCTCCTGATTAATTCGGCGGTATCTGTGGAGGTGACCGCATAGGGTGTACTGCTCGATGTGGCTGGAGTCCAACTGCTCCTGGAGATTATGTAAGTGTGCGTGGAATCATTGGATTCCTCGGAGACGATGGAGGTGCAATCATCTGCAGGTTCATCATTATCCGCCGCGTTGGCAACATGTTGTGTTTGCTCGGAAAACTGTTGCGCATCAGAAGATGTTGCTGCTGTTGTTGTTGTTGGCTTCTCGAACAGAAAATTTAGCGTGGGCACAAACTCAACATCCACACAAGTTTTTTGTGTTGTTCCAGCGTCGTGGGATGTTGCTGGCTGAGATGTTGTTGCTGGCTGAGATGTTGCTGCTGGCTGGGATAATGTTGCTGCTTGCTGGGATAATGTGACTGCTGCCTGGGATGTTGTTGCTGCTTGGGATAATGTTGCTGGCAACTCCTCGACTGCTGCCGCTTCGATTGCCTTGTAGCTAACACTGGCGCTGTGCGGTCGGAGCAAGGATGTGATCTATAATGTAAATAATGATATATTAAAGGTTATTAAAAGAAGTAAAAAATATTACATTAAACCTAGAAATTCAGGGTTTTAAACCCAAAATCTTAGGTATAAAACGAACAACATTTTAATATCCTACAGTAAAAATCCAAATATCCTAAAATAAAAATATAAAATAAAATAATAACATCCAAAAGAATGTTCCCTTTTCAACCATAACATATTAAATTAATAGACTGATAAATTCCACAAAATAAGTTGAACATTCCTTTTATTAAATTGTAATCTAAAAACACTAAAATTTGTTTGAATAACAACTGAAAAGCAGAGCAAGCTTTGGCCCACTTGTTGTGCCCACTACCAAAGAGCTAGCCCCTGCCATTTGAGTTTGAGGCAAGCACGCGTCGTCTGCCGCCATAAATTTATATTCTAGATTGCGATACGATTTAATGATGTCACCCAGTTGTCACCGTCGAAGGAGAGACGCATTGTGAGGATTCTTTAGGGGGTCTCTCTGGTCTGCGGCCCACTAAACTTGGGTGAAAGGTATTAAAAAAGCGGCGACTTTATTACGTAAATAAAATGTTGATTGCTATATGTGTGTTTGGCAACATCAAATTTCAAATTGACCTGCATCTCAAGTGTTTCTATCAGAGAAGGGAACTCACTGCCCACACCGATTCCTTGATGGATTGCAGCTGTGGGTCGGCTGTCTTGGATTCCCTTTAAAAAATATAATTAGAAACATTTGAAGCATCTTTATGCGTTTGGTAATAAAGTTTGTTCCTTGGCGTTTGGAGTTGCATATGCCAGAGTTATTTATTTTTAGGCCCTGCCCACATTAATTAAGAAAGACGACTCGGTGTCCACTTGAGTGATCCAAAATACATATACATATATTTACGGGTGGGAAGGTGTTCGAAACGTGTGCCACACATGCATGATGCATCCGTTCCCGAATTGAGTGAGGAAATATTTAGGCATTTTCCAATTACATTTCCACACAGCTGGAGATCTAATTAGATCTTGCAAGCATCTTTATATAGGCATGTGCCAAGGCAATGCATTTGACGTTAGAATAATAAATTTGTTTGAACTTATGAGACGATGGGTACAGTAAGTAATGGTTATAAGGGAATGTGGGAAAAGAGGTATAAGGAAAAACCTATTAAGATTATATCATGATGGAATATTTCCCAAGAATGAATAGTTGTTTTGGGAAGTAACCTTTCCTTTCCTTAGTTGAATTTTCTGTTCTCTATACAATCGCCCTTATATTCAAGACCCACTGTAATTGAACATCTGCCTAAGACAGTATTTTCCATATTGCTCATACGCCATGTGGGTCAGTTCGTAATGCTTGATAAACTATTCAGATTAGCCGGAAAATATTTGTGCAAAAGTTTTCCCATTCCTCCCGCAGTCCTCCTTTGTTATTTGAACGTCCTTGAACTTGTCAGGCAAAGAGACAAAGCCAAAACTTTAGGACTCCTGAAAAGAAAGTCCCAGTCCCAGCTGGATTCTTAAACGCATATCGGGATAACAAGTTTGCCATCATAGCCATGGCAACATGGTTAGTTTTCTTCTTTTGAGTGTGCGTGCTTTCTTGTTTGGCGGAAAAGCGAAATCGAAAGTTTTCCCACCTCCTCGCAAAAAACAAAAAGCAAAAATAAAAGTTCTATTTGTTGCTATAGTTTAGTCCCCTATCGAGGGGGCCGTTGTTTGGGTGTGACACACATTTCAGGTGGATCGTCGGCGTCGTCTGGGGTTTTTGCACTTCGCCAACTTATAAAACAGCAACAATGCCTGCCACTCCCGCCGAAAGGCTGAAGGATGGATAGGGTCACAGGACCTAGCCCAATGTCTCAGTTAATGGTAGCTGCTGTTTTCCCTTTTTGATTTTTCATAAGATATTGTCAATATATAGACCTTCAATAATAGCACGCATATTGTCGAAAATGATTAAATTAATGGCTTTGCCAGGCAAAAACTCGGCAATGAAATGGGAAAAGTTGTAAGAGGGAAGGAAATAGATTTTCTTGGGCGTTAAAAAGGTTATATAATTCTTGAGAGGATAATATAAATGTAAGGTCTTTATTACTGTTTTCTAAACATTATTTGGAATAGGTTTTCTAGTTATTTGGATATTGAAATCGAAAGGAAGTTATTTACTTATTTGTTATATTTTATACTACAGTTTTTAAACCTCTTAAAAAGGAGTCTAAAAGTATGCTATAATATTTATAAAGTACCATATTTGGTGTAAATAAAAATCCTCTTACGATTTAAAATCTTTTAGCATACTTTTGGACGCCTTTTTAGGGATTTTATAAACTTAAGCAGTATTTGTTTTTTTTTTTTAGATAATTAAATTTATTTTTTATAATTTTTATTTTTTATTAATATATTATCTTATTGATCCCATAATAAGAAACACAGCTGTGATACTATTATTGCGCACTAGTTTTAATATTCCAGATAAAAAAGTAATAAATAAAATGGCAGGAAGGAAATACTAGCTTAAAAAGCACACTTTTAATTTAGATTCTACACTTTCTCTTCTAATTACAATATCATTTTCACCAATACTATTAAAATCCAATTATCCAGAGGTTTCAAATGATTCTAAACACATGAGGAATGAAGAATGAGCCAAATGTCAACCCGGTTGATGCTAAAGATCACTCGCATCCGACGTCAAATAACTCACATGCAATTTCCCCATTTCGACGCCTCTTTCATCCGATTCGATCCAACGATAAAGTTATCTCAATTAAATGCAATTTACAGTCACTTAAAAAAGTAAAGAGTCCATGTATTGACAATTGCCTATTATGTGTCCGCGTCACATTGTGAGTTTCCACTTGTATGCAAATTATTCTTCAACTTCAGTGCACTTTTTTATCTACTTTTCTCAGAGCTATAAATGTGCGGGGAGGAGCCGCCGCCACAAGACGCACGAGCGACGCGACCGCCTGCAGTGCAAGTTCTTTTATAAATAAAACGCCAGAAGAGACATTCAATTGAAATCAGTCACTCAATCCGAGGAAAATCAAAGGAAAAGCGATGGAAAAGAGCAGCCCGCCGCCACTGATGAGAGCGAGTAGAGAGTGTGCCGCGGAAATTTGCAACGCGGTTCCAAGCGGTTCCGTGCACCGAATCAATGTGCGCTCCCATTTTTTATTTATAAACAAAATTTATATGTGGAACATAAGCGATGTAAGCAAGAGTACATATGTGTGTGCCAGTGTTTGTGTTTGCGGGCAACATTTGTTGCCAGAATGTTGATGGCGCAATGTTGATAAGACAAGGAATTCCTATATACAGTTGATAATGCTTTTAAAGGGCACGTGAAATAAATTTTTACAATTTATTTAGTGGAGAGGAAACAAATTCTAACACACTTAAACAAATACCGAAATTCTAGCAGAAACCCTTAAATAAATAGTTGAAGCTTAAGTTATACCTCTTCAGTTTCTTTTTAATATTAACAAAATGATTGTTTTGTATGGAGTTTGCTTTATATTTGTTTAAACAGGATGATTTTCCACACATTTTAAATTGTATTTATATATATAACAAGTTAATATCTTTCAAAGACAAACAATATCTACAAATTGAACCTTATAAGTTTGTATAAAATTTCCTAATAATAATAAAACTTGTCTTAATAAGTTTCCACTGTACTTGGTTGTAAATATTTTGAAGGGCCTTGTGGTCGTCTAATCGAAAGTTCAAAGGCGCATTCAATTTCGATTTCATTTGTAAACAACACACTTCTTCTTGGCTCTCTGCTGTGTGTTTGTGGATTGTATGTGCGGCAAGAGGTGGATCCTATTGAATACTTTGTATTTCCCCTTGCGATCGCCACACACATGAAAAATGATGGATGTTTGCCGGATTTCTAGCTCTCCAATGGGTTAAAATGTTAATACTTTAATGGATTCCTGTGCTTACCCAATCGTATAGAGTATACAGATTCATGGCGACTCTTGCTGCTGCACTTGAACCAAATAATTTATGGCCTATTCCCGGTCTTCTCTTGGCCTGGCCGCCTTTGTTGACACTTGCGCCTGCCTGTCAGTTTCGAATGAATATTTCTATTTATTCTAGATGTGATCCATTTTCCTGTTTGTTGTTTACATTAGGATTTTGATGACACGATGATATTTCTTTTGCCACTTTTCGGGTTGAATACGCGCACAAAAAAACCAAATAATTTTGTAGGTTATGTGGGAAAATTTACGTAAAATTTTCAATATTTTACAAACACTTTTTAAACTAAGAAGACAGCACAGAATAAGGGAAAAAACTAGCTACTTAAACCGCTCAACTTAGTCAAACATTATTATATATTTTTTTGATACTCCGCGAAGGAGAAAAACCGCAAAAATAAAGGGTAAAAATCTTAAACTAAAAACCGATATAGTGCAACCGAAATGAAACAGTTGCACGTAATCGCGAGCGCGATGCAACTGAACATCAGATCCAAACGAGAAGACTCTTTTATTTTTGGGTCTTTTGGGAGAATTAACATACTGTGACGCTCAGTGAAGCGCAACACGAGATTTTTGTTTAAAAATAATCAATCGTAAACAAAAACTGTTGCATGGGGAAACCGAAATAGGGAGAGTCTATCCAACGAAACAGAGAGAATTGGAGAAACACAGAGAACTAAGATAAGGAGGGGAAAAAAGGGAGGTTTTATCGCCCAGTTCTATAAATAGGTTTTAAGCAGAGATTTTGGGAATTCTAGAGAAACATTTGATAAAAGAAAAAAATAATAAAAGGTTCAAGATAGAAAATAATGTAGAATTGTAGATTTTTAATCTTTCTAAACTATATCATTATATTATCACCTTTCTAACCTTTATTCCTCAATAAAAGTACTAGTATTTCGTGTACATTTTAATATAAAATATTTATTTATATTTGTTTTGTTATTGCTTGTTAATAATAGTTAGTCTTAAACGCTCCATTCTTTTATAAAATATTTGCATCTGTATATTTATATAAAAAATATTGTTTTTGTTGTGTAAATATTCAATTTTATACACTGTAACAATTGCTAGTCCGTTTTCCTCTTAGCTATGGTTGGGCTTTTGTAAATGCTTTAATATTTCTAAAGTACTTTCATACTTTCTAGGCATCTTGCCATAAGGCTTGTTTCATATTGTTCTTTGTTTTATCAAAAATGTCATTACGAATAATAATAAATTGCTTTCCATAGGTCAAGTATTGAAATTTTGGCAAATTTGTTGAGCATTTTTATGTTAAATATTCGATTAGTCTTGATCTTAAATAATTTAGCTAACGAACTTTAAATTTGTAATTCGTGTCCAACGCTTTTAGTTTAGTTAATCACAATAAAGGGGAGGGAGAGCATGATGTGTTAGATCCCATGAAACCTTATAGGTCAGTTGGGATTGCCGCTCTCCTTTTGTTTGAACTTGGTGGAGTATTTGTAGAAATCGGACATCTCGAAGGGCTTGGTAACCTCCTTGTACGGCTGAAAAGTGGCCTGCTGCACTACGGTCATGTTCTTTGGCGACTCGATTCGTATATCCGGCGATAAGCTAGCCGTGGCCACAGTCAATGGCGGTGATACCAGCGCCGTTTGCAGAGCACTTCCGTGACCATGTCCACCGCTCCCACTGAGATTTAAATTTAAGCTGGAATTCTGATTCAGATTCTGCTGGCTGGCGGCCGGTGGAGGTCTGGGCGGCGGCGTAGGCTGCTGCATTTGACTCGGCTTGGGCGGTAAGTTTCGAAACGGTGGTATGTCCAGCGGTTCCAATGGATACGATACCGAAATGCCCATCGTTTGCTCAATGGCATTGAGGTACGACGTGGATTGACTTAGCAAAGCCTTGGTGCTGGTGTTCACCGCATAGCTGGCATTGGGATAGTTCTGTGTTGGTCGCTGGTTCCCAGACATGGAATAGTGGCGTCCCGATACCGACATGGATTGTGAGGAGAGCTTGGCGCGTGGCTTGGAGCTGGCAGCCATGGCCCCTGCCTGATGATTACTGCTTCCATTACTGCTACTCCCAGCTGGACTGTGGGGCTGGGAATCCATTTGCCTTATAACCGCTGGTCCATCTAGAGATGACTCTAGCCACTGTTTGGGTTTGGGTTTCTTTTCAATGTGAGTTGTGGATGAAGATGACAGGGAGATCTCGTCGTGCATTGGATAGCGACTAGGTGGCATTGGTGCCGCCAGCATATCGCTAGAGTGTGATTTCACCTCTACAATACCCAGTTGTGGTGGCGTTAAGGGCGGCGCTATGTGGGTTTGGGAACGCCAGCGGTATTGTTGCTGTTGTACAGCCGCCGCCTCCATGTCCACGGAAACGTAACTGGGCGCCAGGGATATGGCATCTAATTGCCGGAGCATGGGATTACGCTGCTGCTGTTGCTGCTGCTGCTCGTAGCTTAAATTGCTGGGCGATGCCAAGGGCGAGACATACTTCTTAATGTTTTGACTGGACTTGATGAAACCCCCTTCGTTGTAGCTTTGATGAGTGGGTGATAAGTAGTATTTGTCGCAGTGTACGATAATGGGCTGCTGCTGGGGTGCCACCTGTGGTGGTTGCCTCAAAGTGGCCACATTGGAGGAGTTTGCAGAGTACATGGATATGACATCTGGCTGGGATCTCTGGTAGTTCATATTCATTAACAAATGCGATGATTGTTGCTGTTGCTGCTGCTGCTGCCGCATATATTGCTTTTCTCTCAGAGTCGGTGTGGGTCGCTTTTTCAAGGCACTCTTCACTAGCGGCGGTTGCTGTTGAGCCTGCTGCTGGGCCACGCCTATCACCAGCATATCTCCGCCTGCATTTACCGAAGAGGGCGAAGGCTGATAATTATCATATTCCGAACTGCGGTTTGACAAGGTTTCCGACTGTCGATTGTTGTTATTGTTATTACTGTTGGTCATTTGACTTTCCCTGCTTTCCCGGCTCGTCGTGCTTTGTTTTCTCCTCAAAATGGAATTGTTTTCACGAGCCAATGCCTGAAATTGCTGTTCATGCTTGTACTGTTGGGCCAACTGGGCAAAGAACTCGTTAATGCTCATCTGCTCGTAGTTGCCATTGATAATGGCCGTCTCTTGTTTTTGGATTTGCTGATATAGCCAGCTTTTTTCGCTTAATCGTTGCTCCAGAGCCAACTTTCTGGCCTCCAAATTTTCTCGTCTAGTCTTGGGATCATCTTCGTTGTTGTTATTGTTGTTGTTGTTGCTCCTACTGCTACTGCTGCTATGGTTATTGTTAACATTATTTGTGTTGTTGTTGTTGTTGTTGGAGGTGTTGCTTGTGGTTGCCGCTTGTTCCTCATCTTTAAGACTGGCCATTTTTCTGCTCTTGAGGGGCGCTTTCAATTGCATCGCCAGAGGTTGCTTTGGGTACTTCGTTGGCTTCGTTCGTTCGGTGGTGGTGGTGGTGCGGATATGAAATTTTACAGGGTTGGGAGGGAGATCCTAGAAAAGACAAGCAGTCTTTGATCAGAGTATGCCTCTTGGAATCGATCTTTTTTTAAGGTATTTAATAGATTTTGTATTATATTATTTTTTGTGAATTTCCAGCTCTGTTCAATAGTTTTTATATTTTCATTAAATTTATATAACTATAATTTTTAAGGAATTTACATGATCTTAAAAAAATTAACCTTGAATTTCTTATTAAAAACATTTTAAATCAATAACAAAAGGTTTTGTTTTTATAGAAAAATACAAAAAAAAATGTATTTAGTTAATGTTTATATTAATTTTCTTGCATTTACTACGGTATATTTTCATAATTTTAGCATTTTAACCTTATAAATCCGCAACTTTGAACTTTATAGTGAACTTTTGTACAGATTTATATCAATTTAAGGTTTTTTTTAACGTGTTTTAGGTAATCCTTAACTATTTTTTATCTTTAGCAGAGCTAGGAAATTCACTTGTTTTTAATTTCCTTTTATTTTTTAGTCCCAAGTTAGCAATATTAGAAACGTGCACTAGTTAATTAGGTTTTTTTAAGTTGGTATGTATGTACAGACTTAGTTTTTGTTTTGTTTTATAACTTTGGCACCCATTATATCACGCACCACAACCACCGGACACCTTGAAGCGAAATCCCGTCTCCAAAATATGGCCAGAAGAACCTTAACCCGAACATAGAGTTGTATGGCGGTGTTTTCTATTTTATGTGTGTTGTATTTCTCTCTGTGTACAGTCTGGCGAATGGGCGATGACTTAATATATCGAAGGCTCTGGAGTAGGCGCCCCTACAGTGGATGCTCGCTGAAAGGAACCAAACTGGTTTCCAGGCCTTTCCACTGCTAGGGGTAGGTTTCTAATTAAAAATGAAGCGTCCAAACGCAAAACTACACTTATGACTAACAAATGAGGAATTATGCATAATTAAAAACAGATCGATTTAAAATATATCCCAAACACACACAAAAACACACGCAAAACAAACAAAAACAGGTCAAGAACAAGAACGGAAAACGGTGAAACAAAAACAACTTTTAACTCACCTAGAGGCGCCTTTGTTGCTGTTGGTGTTGTTGTATGTGTAGTTGATGCTGTTTTCTTATTGTTCTCTTGGGTTTTGTCGTCGTAAAAACAAAAGTCCCGTTATGTCGGCACCTGTGAATGAGTTATTCGATTGCAATAAACATTTCGGCAAGTTGGCCTTAGTCTTACCTCTTACTCAGGTGAGAGAGTGCACCCACACACACCTTTTATCGCTCAGAAATGCGGACACATAGCGTCGCTGTTGTTGCAACGCCGCCGTCGCCGCCGCGTCCTCTCCCAAAAAACAGAAAAAACAAAACTGGAACTCGGTTATCCGCTTAAAACGCCTTGCGTTTAATTTGAGCTTTGCGCGTTTGAGCAATTAGTGAGTGCAGCACTTGAGATTGGCCTAACTAAATGGAAAATTTGAGCAAATTAAGGCAAAAACACGCGAGAAAAACAGAAATGCTGCGCCTACATAATTAAAATACAAAAACAGTGTGACCAAAAAGCACACAGATCGGAATACCTTCACAGTAAGCCAAGTTTCCCACCACAACAGCGTGACCGAATTTTTAGGGTTTTCAAACGGAAAACCTGGCAACCCCACAACTCTTTCATCCAATTGCATCCTAGTAAAAGGTATTTCATCAATTCGGCCGGTTTTATTACATAAATTTGCTTTCTGCCGGCAATAGAATAAATTCGGCTTTATGTCATTGCAGTTGCTGAAAGCGCTACCCCACCTGCGCAGCGCCACCTTAGCCGTGAGATCTCAGTTAGCGAGAAAAACGTGGAGCGAGCACATTGCCACGAAAGTGTTTTTTACCACCGCCGCTGCATCACCCTCTGCGTCACCCACTCAGCCACCCACTTGGGGCGCCAAGAAGCAAAAGAGAAAGGTTAACCTACGATCCGCAGCTGCCGAGTTCATCATGTCCAATCCGGAGATTGAGGCACAGTTGGCCCCCTTGCGGGAGCGCGTGCAGGAGCAGGGCAATTTGGTGAGGGAACTCAAGGCCCAGGGAGCTGCCGAGCTGGATGTGAAAAAGGCCGTGGCCGAGCTGAAGGCTCGCAAGAAGGTCCTAGAGGAAAAGGAGCTGGCACTGACGCCCAGCGTGGTCAGCTTTGACCGTGCCAAAATGGAGGATCTGCTGAAGCGGCGCTTCTTCTACGACCAGAGCTTCGCCATTTATGGTGGCATTACCGGCCAGTACGACTTCGGACCCATGGGCTGTGCCCTTAAGTCCAACATCCTGGCCCTGTGGCGGCAGTATTTCGCACTCGAGGAACAAATGCTGGAGGTGGATTGCTCGATTCTCACGCCGGAACCGGTTTTAAAAGCCTCCGGTCATGTGGAGCGATTCGCTGACCTGATGGTCAAGGATGTGAAGACCGGCGAGTGCTTCCGCTTGGACCATCTCATCAAGCAGGCTCTGGAGAAGCTGTCCAAGGCGAAGGAGGCCACGCCGGCGCTGCAGGCCGAATGCGAGGACATCATCATCAAGCTGGATGGTCTGAACAAGCAGGAGCTGGCCGATGTCCTGGCCAAGTATAACATCAAGTCCCCCCTGACCGGCAACGATCTAACCGAACCCATCGAGTTCAATCTGATGTTTGCCACGCAAATTGGACCCACTGGTCTGGTCAAGGGATTCCTACGCCCGGAAACAGCGCAAGGCATCTTTGTGAACTTTAAGCGATTGCTGGAATTTAATCAGGGCAAGCTGCCCTTCGCCGTTGCCCAGATAGGCAACTCCTTCCGCAACGAAATCTCGCCCAGATCGGGACTTATTCGTGTGCGTGAGTTCACCATGGCGGAGATTGAGCACTTCTGCGATCCCGTGCACAAGGATCACCCCAAGTTTGGTAATATCAAGGCGGAAAAGATGACCCTCTACTCGGCCTGCAATCAGATGGATGGAAAGTCCGCTGCCCAGGTGGAAATTGGAGCTGCAGTCGCCTCCAAGTTGGTGGCTAACGAAACCCTCGGCTATTACATGGCTCGGATCCAGCAGTTCCTTTTGGCCATTGGCATTAAGCCGGAATGCTTGCGTTTCCGCCAGCACATGTCCAACGAGATGGCTCACTATGCCTGCGATTGCTGGGATGCCGAGATTCTCACCTCCTACGGCTGGGTGGAGTGCGTTGGGTGTGCGGATCGCAGTGCTTACGATCTGGGACAGCACACGGCGGCCACTGGTGTCCGCTTGGTGGCGGAGAAGCGTCTGCCGGCACCCAAGACCGTGGAGGTCAGCGAAATTGTGCCCAACAAGCAGGCCTTGGGCAAGACCTTCAAGAAGGAAGCCAAGAACATAACGGATGCGCTGGCCAAACTTTCGCTTGAGGAGATCACTAAGGTGGAGCAGCAGCTGGCAGGCGATGGCCAGTACAAGCTGACCCTGGCCGATGGTCAGAGCCACGAGCTTGACAAGAACACCATCAGCGTGAAGCACTCCTCGAAGACCGTCCATGTGGAGGAGTTCATCCCGAGTGTGGTCGAGCCCTCGTTCGGCATTGGACGGATCATGTACGCCCTGCTGGAGCACAGTTTCCAGTGTCGCGATGGCGACGAGCAGCGTTGCTACTTCACCTTGCCCTCCCTGGTGGCGCCCATCAAGTGCTCCATCCTGCCATTGTCGAACAACACGGATTTCCAGCCCTACACGCAGAAACTGTCATCTGCACTGACCAAGGCGGAACTCTCGCACAAGGTGGACGATTCCAGCGGCTCCATTGGCCGAAGATACGCACGAACAGACGAGATTGCTATTCCCTATGGCATCACCGTGGACTTTGATACCTTGAAGGAGCCGCACACTGTGACTCTGAGAGATCGGAATACCATGAAGCAGGTGCGCGTCGGTCTGGAGGAGGTGGTCGGTGTGGTCAAAGACCTCTCCACGGCGAGGACCACCTGGGAGAAGGTAACGGAGCAGTATCCACTCTTCGAGCAGCAGGAGGCCAGCAGCAAGTAACCCGATGGCTGAAGAGCAAGGAAATTCTCACGCTTGACACACGCATTTTCTATATTATTTCTTTTTTATACTTTTATGCCTAAAAGTTGAATAAAACATGCAACATTTAATGCTTCGCACCAGAAACCGAATTTTCTTGTTAATGAATTAATAACTTTCGTATATTAAATAAAAATTTGAATTTTCCCGGCACCCGGTCACCCTAAAATCGCTCTCAGTACGCTGGAGTTGCCAGATATTTAAAGAAAAATACCGGCATTATAGTTTAATCACAATTAATGTTATATTTCCGTTCCTAAAAACCCTCGAGTTGGGTGCATATTCTTTAAAATTACAATCTTCACGGAAAAACGTCGGAAAAGCTATATTTTTTCGTTTTTTTAACAAATGGTATTATGCCAGTTTATTATAATGCATTTTAAATAGGCCAGGCTGGTCACACTGACAGACATACCGCGGCATACATATACATATGTATATAATATAACGCAGATAAATAAGTCAACTCGCGGTTCGCGATTCGCGGGACCACGTGTATTTGTAACAGAAAACCAAAATAAACGGCGCAATTGTCGCTCGGCTTGGCTCCTATAAGTGTAGACTTGGTGTCGACTCCGCGAGACGGTAATCCGCGATCCGAAATCCCAAAAAGATGAAATACATCCTGGTAACTGGCGGCGTCATCAGCGGCGTGGGCAAGGGCGTGATAGCTTCCTCGTTCGGAACGCTGCTCAAGTCCTGTGGCCTCGATGTCACCTCGATCAAAATAGATCCGTACATCAACATCGATGCTGGAACCTTTTCGCCGTACGAGCATGGTGAGTTCCTCGCTTTTTGGCTTAACAATGTGTATACGGGGGCTATATAATATATGGATATACGCGATAGTGCTCGCGGCAAAGCAGGAAAATCTGTCTGCATTTTGTTTTTGGCAAATTTTCAATATTGCGCGTTAGTGTTGGTGTGTGCAGGTATGTGCATGGTAGCTGTAACGGGTCTTGTTGTTGTCAAAGGTCACGCGGCATGTTGTAAGCCACATGGCATGTAAGAGAAAGGGAGAGCGCAAGTCGCGGAAAAAGCCCACTCTCCCGCCAAAAAGTACTACACAGAAGGGGCCAAATCGAACTTCAAGAAAATGATTAAGTATGGTAAACAAATTGTCCCTTAAAACGTTTGCCAAATAATGAAGAAAAATTAATACAAATCGTGCCAAATTCTCTAACTGTATATGTGTTGCAAGAAAATACGAAGTGGCGTGTTTATTGTGCGGTGCGGGTGTAGGAAAGAGATGACCAGACAGCACGGCCGCACCGTCAGCTGTTTTTCCTTCCCTCTCTTTCTCGCTCTCTCGCAAACAACAACAAGTAATTGCACGTGCTTTGCCGGACTTTAGCAAGTTTTGTTTATAAATAAATCAGCCTGAGAATGAATATAATCCATACAAATATAAAAATATTAGCCATCAACAATTGTTTACAGAGCTTACAATGAAAATTCCCTTAATGATACCAGAGATTTGTCAAGCGCTCTCTTCTGCCCACTCCTGTTGCTCTCTGTTTATGCCTCTCTTGTTACAAAAAAACCTCCCTCAACCGGCAGACATTGTGTTGTCGTTGTTGTTGCTTGACATTGAAAATGAAAGTTTCTGTCTCTCCTGTTTAAATGGCTTTGCTTTGCCCTTTTCCTTTATTTTTGTTTTGTTTTTATTCACTTTTGGTGTTTCTTTTTTATCGTCACAGGTTGTTTGTTTGATTGAAGGAAAGGGAAACTTTTCACGTGGCGCACTTTAATACTATTTGTAAACAACTTAGAGATAAGCCAAAACAATAATAATCTGTATGTGGCTTATCGCTGTGGTGGTTTTCATTGATTAACTGTATTTGTTGCCACAGATTTACTGTATTTTTCGTTCAGTTCGCTTGTGATCGGGTTTTTTCTCACCCACGGTGTCACTGTATTGCGCTCACCCACAATCGCTCCATCTCCGCCTCCACTGCACCCCCTCTTATGCAAAAAGAACTTCCTCGGCCAAAATGGCGCCAGCAGCAGCAGCAGCAACAACAACAATAAGAGTGAATAAACTGCAGCAGCGGCACACAAATTTATTTATGCAACGTGCCAATGCAATTACGGTGTGCTTGTATGGGTGACGATGGGGAGAGTTTGGGGGGTGGTGTGTGAGGGAGACATGTGTCGCAGTGTTGACCTGCACGATTCGCGAGGCCGATCTACACGTGCGAATTAATTTATAGGTGAAATGGAAAGTTGCATGTTAAAACTGTTTTGTTGGGAAACTAAACAATTTGAACTTTTGGGACAGCTATAATTCTTGAGCTCTCATGCGTGTCAAATGTTAAATATTTATATTATTTAAGCTTAATTCTGTTTTATAAGAGGTGCGAATATGGCCAAACAAATTCGATAAGTTGAAACAGAGGACAGCCTGTCGACCATTTCGCCCATATCTCTCGCCACCCAACTCCCCCCCCACTCGCGGGGGATTACTGTCTGCCGCCTGTCATTTGCATTTTTGCGCCCAGCTTCGCTTTTTGGGGGTCGAATTGCACACAGAATGCATTTCTGTGTTTTCTGCTCATTTGTTGTTGTTGTTCTGTTTGAGTTCGCTGCCGGCGTTGACGTCGACGTCGACTGCGGCACATGCGTGTGCTTCATTTGTTTTGCGTTAATTCCCGTGGTGTGCGAGTGTGTTAGTGTGAGTGGGCGAATGAGAGAAGTAGGAGTGGAATGGGGAAATGGCAAGGGTCGCCATATTGGCCGCTCGCTGAGTTCCATCTTTTCGGAGGGTGTCTCTTCTTCCAGCTATGTGGCGAGTGCCTTTGTTGCTGTTGTTCTGCCGCCGCTGGGCTCTCAGCTTCTTCTTGCCCGTCATATTCAGCTTGGGCTTTTGCGTGTTTTGCGCTCTGTCACGGCCCCCCGCCCTCGCTTCATCGCAATCGCCACATTAGCGTTTTTAGCCATAAAAGAGCCAGCAGCTCCTATATACATCTGTACATATACTACATATTTCTCTCTTGTGTGTCTGTTTGGTTGTGTGGCCGTCATCGGCGCGTCAACATCGTTAGCAGCTGTTGCTCTTTGCCTGTGCGCCATTAACTGCCGCCGCCGCCGCCTCCTCCGCCTTCCATCTTTGGTTCCGAGATCCCCCTTACGCCGCTCCTCTACTTCCCTTTTTGCACCTCCTTTTTGGCCTGCATTTGCTTTGTTGCTGCCTTTCTGCTTGCGCATTCGTTACGCTCACGTTTCGCGACGACAATAATGCTTGGGCCTCTGCTGCTGTTGCCACGCTGCTGCTCCTGCTGTTGTTGTTGTTGTTACTGCTGTTGCTGCGGGCACCTCTGCCTGCGACTCGTCCTCTTCACTTCCTCATGCTCCTGCTCTACCCGGTGCGTGTGCTGCTAAGTACAGTGAAACCTAACTAACTAAAAAGAGAAATAAATATTTAATTATCGGGAGCACCAATCACACATAGAACTGTAGAAATGTTGAAAGCAAGAACTACAGAATGTTTATTTATTGCAAGAAAATCTAAGATAAGCTTGCTTCACTGTAATCATATACATACATACATATGGCAGCGGGTGCGTGCGTGCGTGTGTGAGTGTGCAAAAATTAAATGGAAAATACCATTCCGTTGTGGCTGCTCTCCAGCTCCCCAACTCTCCAGCTCTATCCAGCTTTCCAGCAGGATGTGACCGTTGCTACGCGTAGCTGGCGATTGAGGCTGAGTGGCTGCCAACCTCCCTCCCCCACCCACCCACTAGCCTCCGCCTACTTCCATCCCTCACGCCCCCGCCCCACACCTTGTGTGCTGCCACACGCACACACATACACACAGTAAAGTTTACTGATGGGCCCGCACGTGTCCGTATATGCCTGTATGTGTGTTCTATGGCTTCATAAGCTTCAATCGTATGTCTGGTCAAAAGTTTTCCCACTTGGCATAACTTTAAGCATCGCTTTAAGTAATTACATTGACGAGCAGAGAAATTAAGAAACTTGCTGAAAACCTATCCATCTTCCTTCTGGTCCCTAATACCAAGTTTAAACTCTTTTGTAATTTTGCTTAGTAATCAAATTAATTGTATGATCTTCGGTATGGCTATAACGAACGGAACACCTATCATTTGTAGGCTTTCGTTAATCTTTTATACCGGAAGAAGCCAAATTCTCTATATGGACTTTTATGACACCAAAGCTGGCAAGTGTTTTTAAAGGTTTATCGAAATATTCAAGGTGGCTAAAGGCAATCAAGTGAAAATGACATTTTATCATTATTGTATCTTTAAGGCATCCCTATCCCTGTTAATACAATAGGTCCATTTTTGTAGCAACAGATCTGATATTCTGGAAGAGTTTTCTTGTTCGTTAGCTTAATTGTAAGAAATTAAATTCGGGTCTGGTGGCCAATCGCACGTCTGCCCCTCATTATATTTCACAGCCTGGTTGGCCACCCTGCCGCGCCGGTAGTGGGTGGTAGCCTCGCCATAGTGCCGTTTTAATTTCCCCACCTTCCTCCCCCATCACCTCACACTTGGCATGTCTGAGCGACGGGCGCCGGAGCCAAGGGAAGTCGGAAAAGAGAAGAGGAGGAAGAGCGGTAGCCGGAGCCACAGCCAAATTCACATCGATTCGCTTTGCCCGGCTTTTGTTGCACCGCCCCCGTTGTCGTTTCTGCTGCTGCTGCTTCTTCTTTTGCTGCTTTTGCCTCCTGTCGCGTGATTTTAACGAGCCTCCTCTTCACGCCAGCCCCTGGCCTCCGCCTTGCCCACTTCCACCTCTTCTCTCTTCATGGTTTATGCTTTTCGCTCGCTAGCTACTAGGGCTCGCTCGCTTCCGCGCGTTGATTGTCGTTGCTGCGCGCATGCAGTAGGCAGCAAAAGCAGCGGAAGAAGAGGACGTGCGACAGGAGGTCCGCGAGGAGAGCAGGCCACCGGCTCCACCTCACTCACACAGACACCGCGGCTGGCTGGCTGGCTGGCTCTCTCCCGCATGTGTTTGTGTGCCTCTGCGAGTGTAAGTGTAAGTGTGCGTGTGCTGGATAGCCGGCAATAATATGCCCAAAAGCAGCAGCAGCAGCAACAACAAAAGCAGAAACAGTGAGCAGA